AGGATGGTGAGTGCTTCCAGGGACAAGGAAGGTTGGCAGGGAGACAGGTAATTACAGGACAGAGCAGCAGACAAGTTCATTTCCCCACTCTAGGCAGTCGCACCCCGCATTACGGCTCGCAGACACCCTTGCATGATGGCAGCCGCACCCCTGCCCAGAGTGGGGCATGGGACCCCAACAACCCCAACACACCATCACGGTGAGGGCTGGGCCCAGCATGGGGTATATTAGGGGGTGGGGGGCACCCCAAGTCCCTCAGCAGGAGTTGAGGGGCTCGAGACAGACTGCCTGGGTGTGTGGCCTCAGCCCTGTGCCTCACTGTCTCAGCGGTGGAGCGGTGGTAATGTCAGAGTGCCTCCGGTGGGGGCTCTGTCGAAGTGAGACTGCCGTGTGGACACCATCCCTAATCGGCTTCTATCCCTGACAGGGCTGAGGAAGAGTATGAATACGCCTTCGATGATGAGCCCACCCCATCCCCCCAGGCCTATGGGGGAACCCCCAACCCCCAAACACCTGGCTACCCAGACCCCTCGTCTCCCCAGGTCAACCCACAGTATAACCCGCAGACACCAGGGACACCCGCCATGTGAGTCCCCTGGGTACCCTGCAGCCCTGCTGCCCTGCCTTCTGCTCCCTGGCTGTCAGCAAACTCCCCTCTGTCCTATGTCTGCAGGTACAACACAGACCAGTTTTCGCCCTACGCGGCCCCCTCGCCTCAAGGCTCCTACCAGCCCAGTCCCAGTCCCCAGAGCTACCACCAGGTGGCGCCCAGCCCGGCAGGCTACCAAAACACCCACTCTCCGGCCAGCTACCATCCTACACCCTCGCCCATGGCCTACCAGGTACTGGTCCTCAGAGGATCTCCTGAGGGTGTGGGCAGTGGAGCACTTCAGACTCTAGGGATGACTAGGCCAGATGACTGTTCCAGCTACACTGTCCCAATGATGCTGACCTCCTTTCCCCTTCAGGCAAGTCCCAGCCCGAGCCCAGTAGGCTACAGTCCAATGACACCTGGAGCCCCTTCCCCTGGTGGCTACAACCCACACACACCAGGCTCAGGCATTGAGCAGAACTCCAGCGACTGGGTAACCACTGACATCCAGGTGAAGGTGCGGGATACCTACCTGGATACACAGGTGGTAGGGCAGACCGGCATCATCCGCAGTGTCACGGTATGTGGGCCTAGGGCATGGGGAGCTGGCATCATCTTCTTGTTCTCCCATCTCATGGTTGCTGTTTGCTTTATAACTGTCTGATCACATGGTCTAGTAGGACCATGGTCCTACTAGGTCCATCCATAGGTCGAAAGACACATGTGGAGAGGTTTGGGTGTATCGCAATGGGACACTCAGGGCTGAGACCTGTGGCCCGGAACTGTGGCTGGCACACAAAGCTGTGGTTCTCGTTACAGCCCTTTGAGAGATCACAGGTGCTGAGTGCCCTCTGAGCTAGGCTTGGGCTTGGTGTCAGGCCTCTGTAACCTTGGGCTTGCCCACTCTAGAGGCCTTCCATACACTCCCATGTCAGGGTCTGGGCTTGTACACTTTCCCTGTCTCCTTCCACTCTGTGTCTAGGTTAGGCCTCTCACCCTTCAGGGCAGCACCTGGCGGGTTCCGGGCTATGTTGTTCATGTAGCTCTATGTTACCTACCTGCTTCCTATAAGCATAGAAGTTTACCTTGGTGTGAGACTTTGCTTACAGTGTGTGAACTTGGGGCTGGGAGTGTAGCTCAGTGTTAAGAGCATAGGCTTAGTATGCAGGAGGCATTCGGCTGATCTCCAGCCACTAAAAAAACTTTTCTCGGGAGCCCTACTTTCTACGTGCAGGCCCAGCACTTTGTTGACCATCTAATAAATATTGATTGAATCAGTCAAACACCTGAGACTGAGGCAGCTCCAGCCCTTGTCCTCATAGACCTCACAATCCACTGGGGGAGACAAGACATGTCCCTAGACAGTGACAGGTGAATGTGGGCAGAGATGTGATGAGGCCTCCACAGAGGACAAGGGGACAAAGGAGGATGCAGAGGAAGCACTGTACCCATCTTTGAGGGAATCCAGTGGTTCTTTTGGTGAAGGAGACATCAGAGCCAAGTCCTGAGAAATGAATAGGAGTAAGCCAAGGGAAAAGCGAGCTTCAGTGTGTTCCATATGGAGGGAATTGCTTGTAAGCCTGGCATGATCAGGGCACTGAGTTATGTTTGTTGTGACTGGAATATAAATAGCCAAGGGGAAGTTGAGCAGAGAGGCCGGAAAAGTGGCTGGGTAAGGGAACTGGGGAGCCTATAGGAATCTAGATAGGGGCGTGGTGGGCTCGGATCTGTGGTTTGGAATTCAGTCTCTGTTATGGTATCAGAGATAGCTTGGGTGGAGAGACTGGGACCCAAAAGCTAGGTGGTAGTCAGGCTGCCCTTAGCAGGGCCTTGTTGAGAGGGCTGAGGGGACAGACCTCAGAACTGGAGGGTAGTTGGTGATGGAGGTAACAAAGATGAGTCCAGAGGTTGACTAGGGACTGATGACCAATGAGGCTGTCCCTGAGACCAGGCCTTGGGAGAGGAACAGCTGGAAAGAAGCTAAGGCCCCTTGCGGACATAAAGAGTTCAGTGCCTGGGTAGTAGTCTTACATGAGCCTCATTCTATGTTTTTGTTTTTGTTTTTGAGACGGTCTCACTATGTAGTTCAGGCTGGCCCTAAACTCATTATGTAGCCTAGGCTGGCTTTGAACCCACAATAGTTCTCCTGCCCCAGCCATGCAAGTACTGGGATTACAGGTGTCCACCACACCACCATGTGACATGAGCCTCATTTTGATCTTCCTTTGCTGATCTGGTATTATGGCACGCGTACACACGCCCTATCCACCCCCACACCGTCGGCCCAAACACCTTGGAACCAGAGCCAGCCATGGCCTTCCCTGCTCCCATGTGCTCTTGGGATTGAGTTTTCAGAATGAGCTCTGAACTTCTTGTGACTTAGTCCTAAATTGGTGCTGTCTCTACCTGCAGGGAGGCATGTGCTCTGTGTACCTGAAGGACAGTGAAAAGGTGGTCAGCATTTCCAGTGAGCACTTGGAGCCCATTACACCCACTAAGAACAACAAGGTAGGAACTGGGGCTGGGGTAGGGGTACGCATGGGGGTCAGGCTGCTAACATGAACTCTGATCCTGGTTGTGTGGCCCTCAGGTGAAGGTGATCCTGGGTGAGGATCGGGAAGCCACAGGAGTCCTGCTGAGCATCGACGGCGAGGACGGAATTGTCCGAATGGACCTTGATGAACAGCTCAAGATCCTCAACCTCCGCTTCCTGGGGAAGCTCCTGGAGGCCTGAGGCAGTTGGGGGTGGTGAACCTCAGCACATAACTTGGCAGATGAGAACAGCCCTCCTTCCCTCCCTGGTCTTTGACCCTGACAGAACCCTGGGTCTAGAGCAGGCTAGGCTGATCATTCTGGAGTTCCCATTTTTCCTTTCTGGGTTTGCATCTTTTCCCTCCCTGATGCTCATAGGAATCAGACTAGAATCTTGGGAAGGCTTCCACCTTAATACCCTCTGTCCCCAGCTTGCTTTTATGTTACGCTCTTTCAATAAAAAGTTGTTTAGTCAAATGTCCTCTATGTGTGTGTATATGTATGTGTGTCTGTATGTGTTGGAGGTATGTGGATTGTATTTGTAATTGGAATTATTCTTAAAGCTTGTGGGCTTCCTTGCTAGTAATTCAGAGCAAATAACTGGTCCCTACGTAAATGTGAGTTTCTTCATCTAATAATGACAGTCCCTACCCCAGAGGACTCTTGTAGTGGATATATAGTTTATATGTATGTGTGTATAATTTTTTAAGAAGCTAGTTTTACTATATAGTTCAGGCTACTCTTGAATTATGTAGCCCAGGCTGGCCTCAAGCTCATGGTAATCCTCCTGCCACAACTTCCCATGTGTACCACCATGCCAGGCTTTTTTTTCTTTTGGTACCAGAGATCAAACTCATGACCTTGCATTTGCCAGGCAGGTGCTGTGTTGCTGAGCTATCTCCCTGACTTTTTTTTTTTTTTTTTTTGAGGACATAAGTTGTTTTATAAATGTAAATGTGTTGTAAAACGTGATATTAGACATACCATGAAGACCCATGTTCCCATCATCCCATTGTTAGGGAACAGTATGTGTATCAGGACCAGCTTTAGCAGCACCCCTAGTCATTCCCATCCAGAAGCAATCACAACCCTGAATTCCATGTCTTTCCTTTGCCTGATTGTACTTTTACTGCCTTGCTACAGTACTTTTGTTTTTAGTTTACAGAAGCTTGTATTGAGGTTTTTTTTTTTTTGTCTTTTTCATTTTTTATCGGTACCAGGGATCAAACTCACGACCGACTGCTTGCAAGGCAGGTGCTTATGCCGCTGAGCTAAATCCCCAGGCCCTGTATTGAGTTTTTTAACTAATGAAAATAATTTGTGCAGCTTCCTGCAGCCGCAAACTTGGTTTCTTTTGGGTCCTCAATAACCTCTGTTCCATTGATAGAGCCTAGAAGAGTGGTCACCTCTCTCTGCTCCACCTTAGATCCTTTATAGGAACTCATGGTAGGGGGAAGGGCGCTGAGGACAGCAGAGAGGGCCTATTTCGCTTCCCAGCTCCACTGAGCAAAAGAACTCGAGAGGAGGACTTTTACACAAGTTTTGTCAGCCTGATTCCGCATCTGACAATTGGCAGAGGAAGCCAGATCTCCCTCCAGCAGGGGAGCCCAGCTACCTGACAACAAATCATGCAGTCATTGGGTTTCTTCATTATGGACTCAGCCTTATCCTTGAGTAATGAGTGTGATCCCTGCCCTTCCACGCTCATTTGCAGGACGGTGTGCTTTCTTTTTGGTGAAGGGTCGCCATTCCCAAGTGATCATGCCAATTAGCACACAGGGAAAGCAGCCAGGAAACTCTTGAGGCAGTCCACCCGAAGTCGTTTGTCTGTCTCGGGCTCCCGTCCATCCGCTCCTCCTTCGCGCTCCTATTGGCCACAGCGCCAGTCGGTGTGGGTAAGGGCGGGCTGAGTGGGCGGAGCCGAATGGCGTCAGCGCAAAGATGGCTGCCTCAGCGGCGCTGTTCTCGCGCTTGCGGAGCGGACTCCGGCTTGGCGCGCGGGGGTTGTGCACGAGGCTAGCGACACCGCCCCCCCGGGCCTCAGAACAGGTGAGCCGAGCGGGGTTGGCGCCCCGGGGATAGAGGCCTCTTCTTGAAGTTTTGGACGTACACCCCACCTGGAGGGTCTGGGATGCCGCACCTCAGGGTGCTGAATGGAACGCTGCCCGCGCTTTGGGGAGCTCCCCTAGCTCCCGGGATGAACAACTCTTGCTCCCTACCCTGGATGCTAACGGTCCAGATGCATTCTCTTGACTCCTGCCTCCGTCCACGTGGGTGCTGGGCGAGGTCACTTGTTCCCCGTTGTCAGTGACCACCAGGTACTTCTAGGAGAGGGACGCAGACGCTAGGGCCTCAGTTTGGCCTTGGGAATATTTTCTCCGCGTTGCTGGTGGTGGTGAGGTAGACGTCCGGGCTTACATTCGACCTGGCTCCATGTTGACGGAGACCCAGCCATTCTGACCTCCAAGTCCATCACTTCCGTGCCCTATATCCCCAGGCCCCAGACTAGTGATTGCTCCTCCCCTCTCCTCCCCTTCCCCTCTCGTCCCCTTCCCCTCTGTACGCTGTTCCCTTAAACTCCAGGCATCTGAGTATTAACTCTGCATTCTGTTTCTTGTGTACTCTTTCACTTACTGTTACCTGCATCCCAATTTTAGGGCTCCAGGGCCTTTATTTTCCATGGCTTGTTTTCTGGGTTTCAGACTCTCCTATCCTTTTGCCTCTAGAACTCTGGGCAACCCAACCGCTTAGTTCCTAAATCCGTGGAATTTTCTCCCCAAGCAGTTTAATTTTGACCCTCTGAAGGGACCCACCTCCCAACTGGCCCTTCAGTGACACAAGGCTGGGTTTCAGTGGTGACTTTCTGACTTTTTTTTTTTTAACAGGATCCAACCCTAACTGTTTAGTTCAAGCTGGTCTTGAACTTACTGTGTAGCCCAGACTGACTTTGAACTCTTAGGGATCCTCTTGCCTCAGCCTCCAGAGTGCTATGAACTTCCTTACACCAGAGTAGGGGACAGAGTATTAGTACTTTTTCTTGCTTGTCTGCTTGGCTGATCTTCCCTCTCTCCACTACAGGCTGCAGAGATTGGGAGCCATGGAGGTGCTAAGACCCAGGGGTCACAGCAGCAGTCAGGCTCAGAAGGTCCCAGCTATGCTAAAAAAGTTGCACTCTGGATTGCTGGTTTGCTGGGAGCCGGTGGAACCGTGAGCATCGTGTATATTTTCGGTGAGGGACACAACCTCTCCTCAATTTTGTTCTTTTGGCCTCCTGAATTCCATTGCAGGGAATTCCTCTTTCTGCCTTCCTCAGTTGGTGGGATTTGGACATCTATCTTACAAATCATAGTAATTTCCTTTCTCTTCTGCTTAAGGTTCTACTCACTTTATTTGGTTCCTATACCATGCTAAAGGAATCATTTGGTAGAGGGTGAAGTGGGAAAAGATAGGTCTGGACCAGCTTCTTACGTTACGTCTTCCCTCAGCTTCGAAAATTCCAACCCTTCACTTTATTCATTTCTCAGAGACTCTGCCTCAACTTTTTTTCTTTAAAAAAACTCAGAAATTCTGGCTCCTACACACACACACACACACACACACACACACACACTGCCCTCCTTTGAATCCAGGAAGCCGTGCACTCTTGCCTTCTCCTCAGATCCACAAGTCCAAGCCCCTTGTCCTCCTCTGCCCTGAAGACACAGGAGCCTGTACACAAATTTCACTGACTCATTCTTGTCTCCTTTGCAGGAAGCAACCCTGTGGATGAAAACGGTGCCAAGGTGAGAGGAGAGGGTCCCAGAGACCTTACCTTACTGGGAGCCCATCTTGGGGGTATGAGGGTGGGCTGCCTGTTCCTGCTAGGCACATTTCTGATCTGAACTGAGCCCCAGCCTCTCAGGCTCCTGTGTCTTCTCTCAGGGGCAGAGTTCCTTTTGTGAGTTCTTTCTCTGGGTGCTGTGGCATCCTGTTTCTCTATATTAAACCTTCCATTTTTCTCTCAACCTCTTAGATTCCTGATGAGTTCGACAATGGTGAGTAAATACCACACATTCTGGGGGGTCCTCTGGCCTTCCTGACTCTATCACTTGTGGGGATATTGTCCTTCCTAACTGGTGCCCCCCTCCTCATACTCCATAGTGATGTGGGGAGCCAGCAGCTGGATGGCTGGGGGAGGGGCATTAAAAGTCCCAACCCCCTAGGGGCTGGGGATTTAGCTCAGCGGCATAAGCGCCTGCCTTGCAAACAGGCAGTCGTGAGTTCGATCCCCGGTACCGATTTAAAAAAAAAAAAAAAAAAAAAAAGTCCCAACCCCCTTCTCTGGCCTCTCAGCCCAGGAGCAGATGGTCTGAGACAGATTGGGGGAGGGGAGCCTATGTAGGAGGGCCTGAGGAGTTGGGCATCCTATCCCCAGACACAGAGCTTCCTGTGCTTTAGATCTGAGCATCTGCAGCCCCTTACCCCCTCCTCTTTATGACAGCCTCTTTTTTTTTTTTCCTGTTAAGCCTCTGTACCACTAACCATCCAGCTGCTCATTTCCAAAACAATGCCTCCTTCCTCCCTCCCCTTCTGGTTAACCAGCTTTTGGCAGGGAGCTTTGAAAAATTGGGCAGTGGAGAGTAGTTGTCAATTCTATCACACCCCCCTTCCTGGAAGAAAAATAAAATTGGTGGGTCAGGAAAGCCACCTGTTTGTGCTAGGGAAGTTTGCAAATAGGCTTGTTAATACACCGATTGTTTTACACTGGGCAGGTAGAGTATGTTGTTTTACTTGAACTGGGGTAGAATTTTACTAGTATAAGTCAATATACTGATTTAAATTGGTCAGGGAGACATGCAGGTTTAAAGTGCTTAGCTAAGTGGGATAGCATGTGCCTCTAATCCTGTTACCTGAGAGAGAGACAGGAGGATCACCCTGAGTTTGAGGCCAGGCTGTGAGACTCAAAAAACCAAAAATCAGGCCGGGGTTTTAGCTCAGCAGCCTAAGTGCCTGCCTTGTAAGCATGCGGTCGTGAGTTCAATCCCCAGTACCAAAAAGAAATCAAAAAACAAAATCAATCAATTATATATGCTTACTGATTTAACTGGTTTTTGTTTTGTTTTTGGTTTTTGTCTTTTGGAGATAGAGTCTTGTTCTGCTGTTCAGGCTGGTCTTGAGCTCACTTTGTAGCCTAGGCTGACCTCCAATTTGCAGCAATCCTCCTGTCCTAGTCTCCCAAATGCTGGGGTTTAGGAAAGTACCACCACGCCTGGCCTGGTTTCTGTGTTGTGGTTTTTAAGAGGCGTGTGCCAGACCAAAAGTACGGTAGTGAAGCAGGCACTTATGTAATAATTGACTGTTTTAAATGGAATTTAAGCCCAGGTTTTTCATTCCCAGTCCTGTTGATACTTGGGACCAAATAATTCTTTGCTATATGGGGGCTGTCCTGTGTGTTGTAGGATATTTAGCAGTGTCCACTAGATGCCAGTACTATGGCAATCAAGAAGGTCTGTAGTTACTGGGCATGGTGGTGCATGCCTATAATCCCAGCAGTTGAGAGGTGGAGGCAAGAGGATCCTTACAAGTTTAAGGCCAGCCTGGGCTACAGAGTGAGCTCTGGGTCAGCCTGAACTGCATTGTGAGGCCCTGTCTCAAAAAACAAAACAAAAAAAGATCTCCATTGATTGGGTATGGTGGTACATGCCTATAATCCAAGCACTTGGGAGGCTGAGACAGGAGGACTGCTGCAAGTTTGAGGCCAGCCTGGGCAAGTTCAAGACCAGCCAGCCTAAACTACATAGAGAGACCTTGTCTCTAGAAAAATTTTTTAAAAATCTCCATACATCGCCAAATTTCCCAGGGGGAAGAGAGGTAAAAAACTTCCTAGTTGAGAATCAGTGGTTTGACGCATACAGATATGGCTACGTACTCACTGTGGTGTGATTTGACTCAGTATACCGATTTAAAGCAGATTTAGAAGGCTCGTAGTTCTGTACAAAGTACTAGCATATTGTCAGTGAATTTATATGTATGTATCTTTTTAAGTGAGATACTGTGTAAACATTCTGCATTACATGTGGCATGGTGTGTGGATATAAGTATTCAAGTTAGAACTAGGTAGGTGAATAAATACCTTTGTTCCTACCTGCCGGTATGGCATTACTTTCTTCCTTTAGATCTAGAAATAAGTTCAAACCAGTTGGGTTTGTAGACCTGTTTGTATCTGGTAAATCACAACCCTCTGGCTTAGCTGGAAGACTGAGCAGACCCTTATCTTGCAATCCCTTTGTGCTTGGCATTCTCCTAGATCCAATTCTGGTACAGCAGTTGCGTCGGACATACAAATACTTCAAAGATTATAGACAGGTGAGTAGGGGCCTAACCCAGTCCCTGTCCCTCTCGCCTGAGCCCCTGGCTTCTCTGCTGAAAACACTTGTCTTCTTCCTCTCCTGCAGATGATCATTGAGCCCACCAGCCCTTGCCTTCTTCCAGACCCTCTGCGGGAGCCTTACTACCAGCCACCATACACACTCGTCCTGGAGCTCACTGGTGTCCTCTTGCACCCTGAGTGGTCGGTGTGTCCCGGGGAAAGCAGCGGGTTGGGGATGGACCTAGGAAGCCAGGTCATGATGCTGTGGGGAGCAGCCCCAGCTCTGCTGGCCTTGGGGAGGAGGAGTCCTTTCCTGCTGCCTCAATTCCCTCAGTACTCACCTTGTAGGGTTGTCGTGAGTGTGCCTTGGCACACAGGAAGTGTGCCAAAGGAGTCAGCTCTTCACCGGAGTTGTAGTGCTTTCCTCTGATCCCAGCACTCTTGAGAAGTTGAAGCAGGAGAAACATAAGTTTAAGCCCACCCTGGGTAACTTAGACCCTGTATCTAAAAAAGAGATGGGGCTGTAGCTCAGTGAAAAGGCCCTGGGTTCAATCCCTAGTATTGAAAAAACAAAAACCAAAAAAGCTCTTGTTCAGACTCTCACTCCCAGCTCCTATGCTCCCGAATCCCCCAAGAACAGAGAGAACCCTGGTTCTGGGAATCCTTCAAGCAGGGTCTGGGGCCTCTGTGGGCCTCCTAGCTTCAGTGTTTCACTGTCCTCACTGTCTCCTCAGCTGGCCACTGGCTGGAGGTTTAAAAAGCGCCCAGGCATTGAGACCTTGTTCCAGCAGCTTGCCCCTTTGTATGAAATCGTCATCTTTACTTCAGAGACTGGCATGGTGAGTTTGCAAGGTAGAGCAGCCCTGGCTGGTGTGATAGGTGTGGAGAGCTGCAAGGCCAGGGCCAGCTTGACCTCTTCTTGGTTTTTCCTAGACTGCGTTTCCACTCATCGATAGCGTGGACCCTCATGGCTTCATCTCCTACCGCCTTTTCCGGGACGCCACGAGATACATGGATGGGCACCATGTTAAGGTGCCATGTGGGGGTTACATGAGCCTTGGAGTGGATTTAGGGATGCCAACACTGCCTGAGAGAAAGAACACTCAACTTCAATCCCATCGTCAACCCTTCTGTAGTTCTGCCCAAAGGGAGTCATCTTGACAGGACATGAGCCAGCTTCCAACTTGGAGGGGTGCTTTTAGGCTTTTCTTTCCCCCAGCATCTGGGGAAGGGGAATTGGGGAAAGTAGATTCTCCCTAGAGAAGATAGTTGAGCTGGGCCTGGTGGCTCATGCCTGTAATCCCAGTACCCAAGAGCCTGAACCAAGAGAACAATCTCCAGGAGTTTGAGGCAAGCACCTTCCCTCACCCTGTTTAAAAAAAAAAAAAAGACATCTGGGGCATGTCTATAATTTCAGCACTGTGAAAGACTGATGCAGGAGCATTGCAGGTTTGACCCCAGCCTGGGCACTTTAGCAACTTAGCAAGAACCTGTTTCAGGATTTTAAGCCCTGTAACTGAGTCTATGACTGAGTGCTTTGGAGACTATAATTAGCATAGCTGCTTCCATCCTATGTTTGGGGTTGGTGGCTTTTTTTTTTTTTTTTTGGTACCTGACCTCGAACCCAGGGCCTCACAGTTGCCAGACAGATGCTGTGGCACTAAACATTCCTGGCTCTTGGGGTTGGTTTGTCTTGAGATCTGTTCATATCAAGGGCTCTGGGTCTGGCTACAAGTATCTGTGTGTCTAAGTGTAGTTCATGTAGTTCAGGCTGGCCTTGAATTCACTATGTAGCCTAGGCTGCCTTGAACTTATGGCCATCCTCCTGCCTCAGTCTCCTGAGTGCTGGGGTTACAGGTGTGTGCCACCATGTCCTGCTTATATAGGTCCTAATGGACCTGGGCATCTGTGTTGTTGGAGTTTCAGCAGTACATGGGCTGTGGTCAGGGGTAGTGTGTGTGTGTATGTGTATCTACCCTTGTATTGATGTGGTTGCCTGCACCTCTTTCTGGGAAAGAGGTTCTCTCACCTGTGGTGTATCAGTCACCTGGCCAGCGTCCAGTTCCTTCCAGGGAACCTCTGAGTCAACACTACATGAGATGCTGGTTCTTGAGTCTGTGCAACTAATGCTCCAGCTCTCTGAGAGGCTGAGACTGTGGTGATGGCAGTGTGTGTGATGCTGTGTGTGTTTGTGGCAGTGGGAGCACAGGTGATGATGAGACTATGACTACTTCCAGGACATTTCATGTCTAAATCGGGACCCAGCCCGGGTGGTTGTTGTGGACTGCAAGAAAGAAGCCTTCCGCCTACAGCCCTACAACGGTGTTGCCCTGCGGCCCTGGGACGGCAATTCTGATGACCGGGTCTTGTTGGACCTGTCTGCCTTCCTTAAGAGTAAGGTTGACCTCTAACCTCTGACCCCAGCCCTTGACCCTTGAGACTATGACAAGCGCTTGATTCTGGCTTGTGTTGTGAAACAGCAGTCAAGGTACAGGAGTCCATGAGGAGCTTCTGGAAGATACAGTGCTCTCAGGCACGCTTAGGGGGTTCAGTGGAATGTTCAGGGGAAACTTTCAGAGATCAGGAAGCATTCCAGGGAGTCCTGACCCCAGGTCTAACCTTTGCCCAGTGTGTGCCCCTCCACACTCAGCAGCCTGACTGACCCCTTGTTGTGCCCACAGCCATTGCACTGAACCAAGTGGAGGACGTCCGGACTGTACTGGAGCACTACGCTCTGGAGGATGACCCGCTGGAGGCTTTCAAACAGCGACAGAGCCAGCTTGAGCAGGTCGAGGCACAGATCCCCGTACTGGGGGCCACTGTTACAGTCCCTGGGACTGTAACAGCCTGTCTTGTAGCACTGTTGGTCCTGCAGCCTAGTCTCAGAGCAGGGGGCAGGAATCACAAGTGGCTAGCATGGTCTGGAGAGAGGGCACCCTAGATGATCAGTCATTATGGGGCACCATGTAGACGTGGACCGACAGTTTAGATCAAGTCTGCAAAGAGGGATCTTGAGCCGTGAGGTTAGAGAAGGAGTTTACTAGTCTTGAAGGGATCCTGGCAATTTTTGGTTTTGTTCCCTTATGTTTTTGAGACGAGTCTCACTATGTGTAGTCTAGATTGGTTTTAAACTTGAAGTCTTCCTGCTCCAGCTTCCTGAGTACTGGTGTTATAGATGTGTGCCACGTGCCTGGGGACTGTAGCAATTGGAAGTGGGGCAGAGAGTATAGATTGAGTCTGAGACAAGCCAGAGTGCAGGAAGGCTGAACCATGGGGTGTAGGACAGTGTGACCTGCTGAAGGCTGCTAGGTTGGGGCTTGGCTTCCTACCATCAGCTAGGTTGGATAGGTATGGGGTCTGCGATAGGTTCACAGGGGCCCCTGGGATCTGGAGAAAGGGGCTGTGAGCATTTGGGCTGCAAATGAGCATTTGAGAAGTTGCTGAGGTTCAGGGCTACAAATTCAGACCCTGGGACATCAGTGTGGTGTCTTCAGAGCTTGGAGCCTGGGGACTTGGACTGACCCCTGCCAGTGTCTCGAGTGGGAGCAAAGGGTCAGGACCCTCAAGTGTGGGGTGGTGGGGGTTTGGTTGGGGAGGAATCTGGGCTAAAGGAAGAGTGGCCCCCAGGCTGCATGCTGGCCACGTAAGGGTCTGGGAGGAGGCTCTGCCCTCTGAGCTGACTCTCCTTTTTCTGTCCCTGGCCCCAGGAGGAGCAGCAGCGCCTGGCCGAGCTCTCCAAGTCCAACAAGCAAAACCTGTTCTTCAGCTCTCTCACCAGCCGCTTGTGGCCTCGCTCCAAACAGCCCTGACCACTGGGCCTCCTCAAACTCAGTGCCTGGGTCTACAGGGCCCCCAGGGCTCCCAGACCAAGGCTGGGGCAGCCACCGGTCCAATAAAGTGCATCCCAGATGCCACAGCTTCTGTGTCTGCAGTCTCCAGCTGGGGCGTCGGGGTGAGGTCCTGTCTTGGCTGACCAGCTGCTGAATGCAGCAGGTGATTTGTTGAATCAGGGTTCTTGACGCTGGCCTGGGAATCTGAAAGCCCTGGCTCTTCGCTCAGCCATGTCTTCCCACGTGCTGCATGATCTGCATAGGTGCATCTCCCTTGCTGGCTCCACATGCCTGTGTGTGGAAAAGTGAAGAGCAGGGTTTAAAGACGGGTAGCTGCGCGGAAATGAAATCTAAGCTCTGGTGGATCAGCGATTGCCACATCTCACAAGAGCAGCAGCTGCTCAGCTGTAGACCGCTGAGGCCTGGGAGAGGGCTGGGTCTGCGGTCATTTGGTCTCTGGTTTTTAACAGAAGACAGAAACCAAGATTTTTACTGTTTCATTCTCATTTATGTATTTATTTATTTTTGGAGGCATGTCTTACTATGTTGTGTAGGCTGCCTTTAACAGGGCTCAAGTGATGCTCCTGCCTCAGCCTCCTGAGTAGATGAGACTATAGATGGGCTGTCATGTCAAGCTAGAAATTAGGATTTTAATACTGATTCTCGTGCTTTCCATTTACTTATTTGGTAGTGCTGGGGTGGAACCCAGGGCCTTATGCATGCTAGACAAGTGCTGCAGTGTGAGCCTACCTCAGCCCACATGGCCCTTTTACTGTAAGCTCTCCGATTCGAGGAGTGCTCGGCAGTGGCACTGTCTGTGCCTGTGCTATTCAGTGTGGTGACCACCTGCCACATGGACTGTTAAGTACTGATCCGTGGCTAGTGTGAGTGGCGAACTGAAATTTTATTTTTGCTGAGTGTGGTGGTACACTCCTGTAATCCCAGCACTTAGGAGGCTGAGACAGGAGGATTTCTGTGAATTTGAGGCAATCCTGGGCTCCATAGTGAGTTCAGGACCAGCCAGCTTGAACTACATGGACCCTGTTTCAAAAACCAAAAAAAAAATTGTAAGAGAAATATTTGCAGTCCTGCGGACTGAACCCAGGGCTACTCTATACTGAATTAATCTCCAGCCATTTTATTTTGAGACAGGGTCTCTAAGTTGCCCAGGCTGGTCTTAAACTTGTACTCCTCCTGTTTCAGCCTCCCAAATACGAGGGATGATAGATGTGCACTGCTGTACCTGGCATGCACTGAATTTAATATTTTTTGTGGTACTGGAGACTGAACCTGGGGCCTTTGTACTGAGGTATAGTTGTGGCCCTTTTTTATTTTGAGGCAGGGTGGGTTTTTTTTCTTCTTTTTTTTTTTTGGCCGGGGGGGGGGGCTATTTGTTTGTTTCGATTTTGAGACAGGCTCTGCTCCACAGTTTGTGCTGGCCTCAACTCACTGCAACCCCCTTGCCTCAGGCTGGGGGGCATGCGCCACCACACTCGGCTCTTTTGCTAAATTGCCTAGTTTGTGCTCAAATTTGTGATCTTCCTACCTCAGCCTCCCAGACTGGTGAGACTAGGTGTGCACAACTGCGTCCAGCTCTGAATTTTTAAATAACTTTTTCCTTATTTTTGAGACAAGATCTTGCTATGTACTTCAGCCTGGCCTTAAATTTACTGTGAACCCAGGCTGGCCTCAAACTCATGGCAATCCTCTGAAGGTTTAAAATTTAAATAAACACACATGTGCCTTGGCTTGTGCATTGGTGAGCACAGCTGCGTTGAGTACTGGTTCTACACCAGTGGTGGTGAACCTATGGCCTGCCGCAGCAGGCAGTTCCCACTGAGAACTCTGAAAGGTTCATGATCATGTTCTAGACTGTTTAGGCTTAAACCCAGGCCGTGCCTGCCTTGTTGGCTGTGTGGTCATGGCAGGTTACTTCACGAACTGCCAGTGTCTTCCTACATCCGTAGAGTAATAGTTCGTCCAGCCTTGGCCTGAGGTCCAGGTACGCCCCCTCCTAAGCACCACAGGGGTAACTTCATGAACCTTAGGTGAGATTTTTTTTTACCAATATCGGGGATCGAACTCACGACCGCCTGCTCACAAGGCAGGTGCTTATGCTGCTGAGCTAAATCCCCAGCCCCAGGTGAGATACTCTTGGCCTCAGTTTCCTCACCTTTTTAGAGATGACATGAAGTTAGTACCTTAGTAGAATGGTGGCCAGGAGTAATGAAGCAATCATTCCCAGGTTATGATCTTTGCTGCTGTTTCATAGGATCATTAAAATGCATTTGAAGCCATGGTTCAGGTGCCACCTGCGCACTCTGGATTATACAAAGAGCTCATCATTAAAATCTGCCCCACAGCCTCCGGCCCAGGGAGTTAGGTCCTGTAGAGGGGTGTCCTGTGTTCTCAGGGTGTCCCTGCATGGGGCAAATTGGAAATCAAGGAGAGCCCGTTTGCTGTGCACATGGCTTTGAGAGGTGGAGATGGTGCCCTAGTGGGAAGCAGAGGTGGAGATGAAGCTTTCCTTTGTGTCTGTAGAGTGCCATCCTGGCAGGAGCTGTGGACGGGGAGGGGAAGCCAGCCAGTGCTAGCCAGTCACGGGGATGTGCTGTGTCTCAGCCTAAGAGGCCTTTGAGTGTGGCTCAGACCTGTAAGCTCCCGAGGGTGTGAAAGGAAGAAGTGTGTCCACTGACTTGGGGATTAACGCTCTGGTACTCGGGGCAGCTGGGGCTTCAGTGCCCACCAACGCCTGCAGATCTCTCCACTTCAGTGGTGGCTCATCCTCAGTACTGTCAGGTCACACCTGCTAGAAGCTGGCAAAATAAAGGGGAAGATTTGACACCCACATGGCCTCTGAGACACACATGGCCTAGGATGTGTTTCTACAATGTTCTGGGCACTACAGCTGCAGAGTGTCATACAAATAATCCAGTGGGCACAGGCAGGATTGTATCAGCATTAGGGCATCCCCGACAGGTTCTGAATTCTCTGGTCCCACTGCACAGGTGCCCCCTGGCCGTGGACAAGGCTTTCACATCTGCTCCCTCATTCAGTAGGTCTTAATACTAGTCCCTTATTCATTCACGTAGTCACACATGAGAACATGAACTGTCCCGTCTGGGCACAGGGGTGCAGCAGTGAATGAACACAGAGAGCTCAGTTTGTCAAGCTGGTGTTTCCATAGAGGCAGACAGTGCTCCAAGTATTCTTGGTAATAAATCCATAAGCAATAACTGGTTTGGGGGCTTCAAGTCTAAGTTGATTGGAATTGGTAAGGGAGGCCTTGTGGGTGGTGTGTTTCAGCAGAGCCCAGGATGAAAAGAGGTAACAAGCCATGGAGCTATCTGAGCATGCCAGGCAGGCTCATTTCAGGGCCTTGGCACTTGTTTCCTACATGAGGGGTTTCCTTCCAGATCTCTATGGTACCTTCCCTCCTATCTTTTAGGTCTTAGCTCATTTACCATCTCAGCATGGCCTTCTGTGTTTTCTAAGGTTAGTAATAAGGAAAAGTCCTAAACAGCCAAAAAGATGCTCAAAAATCCCTTAAGGGATACTTTACACACGTGACACACAAAACAGTCTTGTACATCACCACTGTACCTGACAAGCCCCCAGTAAAGGCTTTCTTTATCAGTGTAAAGGATGACACCCAGTTTTTAAATTTTTAAATGTTTTTGAGATGGTCTCACTGTGCAGTTTGAGCTGCCTTGAACTCACTTTGGAGCTGGTTTCAAACACACCAATCCTCCTGCCTCAGCCTCCTGAGTGTTGGGATTACAGGCGTGCCCTACCATGCCTAGCTCTTGGCTGGCTATTTTTAATGACTTTTTTTTTTTTAAACAAAGGAGTACTCAGGCCTTATATGTTAGGTAAGGACTATACCACTTTTATTTGTGTTTTTTTATTTTTTATTTTATTTTATTTTGTTTGTCTTTTTCATTTTTATTGGTACCAGGGATCGAACTCACGACTGCCTGCTTGCAAGGCAGGCGCTTATGCCGCTGAGCTAAATCCCCAGCCCCTTTTTTTGAGTTTTTTGAACTGGAAATAAAACTCAGGACCTTGTACTTGCCAGGCAGGCACTGTGCCACTAAGCTATATCCCTGGCCCAAGGACTACTACTAACATACATCCTTAACCCACCCCACCCCCTTTTTTCTGTAGTCTTTTTGAGACAGTGTCTTGCTACGCAGTTCAGTCTGGCCTTTAGCTCATTTTGTAGGTCAGGCTGGTCTCGAATTTATAATGATCCTCTTGCCTCATCTTCCCTGAGATTACAGGTGCACACTACCATGCCCAATCCTTAGTCCTTTTAAAATTTTTGATACAGAGTTTTGCTGTTTTGCCCAAGTTGGCCTCGAACTTGTGATCCTGCTGCATTATCCTTTTGAGTAGCTGTGATTACAGCCGTGCGTCATCGTGTCCAGCTGAAATAGTTTGGAAAGTCTCAGACCTGGAATCTATTACGTTCCCTAGTTTCTCCAAGTAGAAATGTGCCTCTTCCCTTAATGGGTTCTAACGGTTGCTTAGATTCTGTGAGAATGACTCCTGAGAAGGGGACTCATTCTTCCGACCCATCCAGTGCCAGGCCTCCCTTGTTCCCAGTGATCTGGGTCCACAAGGACTGGCTGGAACCCTTGGGACCACAGAACCTATCTGAATAGGAGGGATGTAGAACAGCAGCCCTCGAAAGTCAGCCTTAGATGCTCACGAGATGTGTAGAAGGTACCCAGAGTTGTTGGAGTCTATGCAAGAGGACATGGTCAGATTTGTGTTTAGAAATATCCCCAAGGCCAGAGTGGCCAGGCTAGAATATGGAGGCGTGGGCAGGTCCTCGCGAGTAGGCGAAAAATTTTAAAGTTCCATTCCTTTTTTCTTTTTTATCGGTACCGGGGATCGAACTCACGACTGCCCTCCTGCAAGGCAGGCGCTTATGCCGCTGAGCTAAAACCCCAGTCCCAAAGTTCCATTCCTTTAAAGTAGCAAGCATTCTTGTATGCCTGGCTCTGCCAGTCTCTGCAAAACTAGTATGTAGATAAAAATCTTGCCCTAAAATTACTCACCTCGTAATATTGCATTTTTTTTTACTCTGGAAATGAAAAATAATTTCTTCCATTTCACCGGCTTTGCCCAGCGCCTGGCATGGATCATGACGGGGGCCCGGAACATCTGCTCCTAACTGGCTTTATTTGTCGTGGTCCTGGAATACTAAAGGGCTTCTGGGGCCCCGGGGTGATCCCATTCACCCTAGGGTCGGGGAGCGGCCGGGGCCCCTAGTACTTGCGGACGAATTTCCTGCCCGTTTGCTCCTCACACCTTCCGGAGACCAAACGGGCAGCCCAGCTGCGGCCGCTGGGCAGATGGCGTCATTTACATACAGCTGGGGGTCCCCTCGGAGGAGGCGGGGCCGCGCCCGGCGTCTGCTGCGCCGGGTGCTGCAGGGCCTAGGACTGAGGCTTTGTTTGGGTGGGGGAACACGCGGGCGGGCGACTGCACACACATGCAGTGGTCCACAAAGAACCCTGGATTTTCATCCACATTCGCTCACAGCTCCTCCCGTGGGCCTCACAGACCCAACACACACACACACACACACACACACACACACACACACACACACACACACACACACACACTACCGCTCGCACACACTGCCAGCTGGAGGCCCCTGCACAGACCACAAAGTCGCAGGTCCGACAACTACCCAGTTGTGAACACATACACACTGAGTGTCACACAGTCCGTGAAGTCACCTGCACGACTACTTGACCGCTCAGGTGTAGCTCAATCACGGAGAATTTAGAATCACTTACGAATCACAGTTCCAAGCTCCTGTGGAGCCACGCACACAATCCCTCTTAGACACACGCTCCAGTACCCACTGCGCACAGCACACGCACACGCAGACCCTTAGAACCCTGTGAGGCCTCTCGCACAGCCTACACGACCCAGCCACACTCACAGCCCGCTAGTTTCACACGGGATCTCACGCTGCCCACCTCGCTAGACACCATCTCCAAGTTGCTCCCGCACGGCCCACCTCCCCCAACCCCTCCCCCGGGGCCCTAGGAGCCCGAGGCTGCCTGGAGGGGCGGGGCCGTCGCTCAGATATAAGGCCCAGGAGCTGCAGCAGCTGCGACCCCCGAGCCCCCTGAAAGGCCATGGTCTGCTCGCCAGTATCCCGGTGGCTAGTCCTGGTGCTCCTTCTCCTTCCCCAGGTCAGAGCCGGGCGGGAAGTGGAGTGGGAAGGGATAAATGGGGGTGGGAGCGGGGGAGGGGGGAGATCTGGGCCTTCGCGGCCCCTTGACTTCTTCCCACGTCCCTTTCCGCTCCAGGCACATCCCGCCGGTGTCTTCGAGCTGCAGATCCTTTCTTTCGGGCCGGGCCCGGGCCCAGGGCTCCCACAGTCCCCCTGCAGCGCTCGGGGCTCCTGCCGCCTCTTCTTCAGGGTCTGTCTGAAGCCAGGGGCCTCCGAGGAGGCCGCAGAGTTCCCGTGCGTCCTAGGCGCGGCGCTGAGTGCGCGAGGACCCGTCTACACCGAGCAGCCCGGAGCTCCCGCACCTGACCTGCCGCTGCCCGACCGCCTTATGCGCGTGCCCTTCCGGGACGCCTGGCCGGTGAGCCCAGCCCTGGGGCATCCCGTGTGCTGGAGTGCCTAACCCTGTTACACCTTCTCTGGTTTCCAAAATCCTAACTGTGCAGGTCTCCTCCATGTCCGTGACAAATTCCCCGCTCACTGTACCATCTGGACTTTATATTCCCAACCCCTGGAACCTTACCTACTGGAAACCCAAATGTCCTGATGCCAGCTCTGCAGACTGGGGCTCCCACGCCCCCAGGACCCTAAATTCACTCTCTGGAAACCCTAAATTCACAGAACCTTACCTTGGCTCCTTGGGGGATGACTAAAAACTGGGAGCCTCATCTTTATCCCCACATGTCCTTGCACTTAGAGACCCTCCCATCCTGGGTCTTGGGGACCACTACTTTTGTATCTTTTCCACTCCCAGTTCTTCCATTTGGGCTTGTGTTCAGCTCAGTATTACCTCCCAAATCCTTTTCCTCATCCCCACGGTCCCAAAGGCACAGAGATGGATAGGTCAGAATTTGCATGCTAGACTTTTGTCTTGGGGGGAAGGAAGTGACTCGCTTTTGTCAGCCTCCCTTTCCTCAGCTGTAAAATGGAACAACCCTGGTACCTCATGACAACCCCGCATCTTGGATGAAGTCCTTGACACACAATGCTCAACAAAGAAAGTCAAAGATTCCTTTCTTTCCTGGGGCCACTCCCCTGGCAATTGCCCTTTGCTTGCCCATTCCTCGAATTGGCTGCCACTCTGCACGCCTGGACACTGCTTTTCATGGAGTTTGTCCTCACCACCTTCTATCCATTCCTTCTCCTCCCCGTCTCCCCAACCAGGGCACCTTCTCCCTCACCATCGAGACCTGGAGAGAGGAGCTGGGAGAGCAGGTGGGAGGTGAGTGTCTTCCGGTTTGGGACTGTGGTGGGGGTTCAAGGCCCAGTGTGGAGTCCAGGATGGTGACCTAGGGTTGTCTGTTTTAGGGGGCATTTGTGGGACTGCTGGGCCTATGCTGTCATCACAGCTCCTGGGATGTTAATAGTTTTAGGGCTCTGGATGTCCCTCTCAGGCTTGGCAATATCCTGTACTGGGTGTGGAGTCCTGAGTCCTGGTATAGGATAAGCGGCTCCAGTCCAAAAATTGAAATCAAAATACTGCAAATTCAATTTCTTTTCTTTTCTTTTTTCTTCCTTTTTTTTTTTTTTTTTTTTTTTTTTTTTTTTTTTGCAGTGCTGGGTTTGGAACCCACATGCTAGACTAGTGCTCCACTACTGAGCTATACTTTTCGAACTCTGACATGATGCCACTAGCAGGAAATTCAACACTTGACTTCCTGTGATAACATGCAGTCAAAATGCAGGCACACTTGAGCAGAGGTTGGCGGCACATGCCTGTAATCCCAGCACTTGGGAGGCTGAAGCAGGAGGATCACTTTGAGTTCAGTGCCAGTGTGGACTGCATTGTGAGTTCAAGGCCAGCCTGGACTAGATGTCTCCAAAACAAAACAAATAATTTACTAGTCCATGTCTGATTTTCAGAACCCAGGGTGCAACAGGAGCTACTCCAGGGTACTGTGTGTGAAACTGCCATCTTGTCCACACAGTGTCTACAGAACCCTGTGGGATGTGACAACTTCACCAGGGAGAATAGTGAGCAAAGCCTTCAGGATATGGAGTGATTTTGTCCTTAATTTGAGAAACTTGCTGTGTAAGGCTCACAGTGGGCTTCTGTCACCATTTTGATATAGAAAGCACCTGTGACGCAATGTTGGAGTGTGACATCCTTGCTCAGGGAATGGTGTCACCTTCCAATATACCAAGGTCTCAGGCAACATGGGTAATTTATATGTACAAATTGGACTCTCCACCACCGTTTTGATAGAGGAAGTCCTTGAGGTACGATTTGGGTGTGCTGCGACCTTACTCAGCAGATGTGACTGTGGGTGCACAAAGAGGTATCAAATGTCACTGGGCATTAGCGGTCCTCTCCCTTTTTCATTCCCTCCTTCCTTTTTTCTTTCCAGTGGACGGAACTTAGGGCCTTCACACTGGCCACACCCCTCCCCTTTAATTTTACTTTTTATTTGGAGACTTTTTATCTCGCTAAATTGTCCAGGCTGGGCTGAATTTGTAACTTTTCTGCCTCAGCCTCCCAGAGTGCTGGAATCACAGGCATGCGCAAACAAGAGTATTACATTTGCTACGAGACAAATTACCGTGGTGATGGAGTTTGCACCCTTGCTGAGGAGGGTAACTGTCACCTCCCCTGCGGGTCAGAGGACCCTCAGGGTTCCATAAGGGTGTCTTCTTTTCACCATAAGCGCTGGGGAGAGAGCGTGAACCGACGCGCTCGGTGTCTGTCTCAAGACCACCGCACTGGACCACCGCACCCCTGCACCCTCGCTTCTCCCCGCAGAGCCCGCCTGGAGCCTGCTGGCGCGCGTGGCCGGACGGCGGCGACTGGCAGCCGGGGGCCCGTGGGCCAGGGACGTGCAGCGCGCAGGCGTCTGGGAGCTGCGCTTCTCCTACCGCGCGCGCTGCCAGCCGCCTGCTGTCGGGGCCGCGTGTGCGCGCCTGTGTCGCTTGCGAAGCGCCCCCTCGCGGTGCGGCCCGGGACTACGCCCCTGCACGCCGTTCGAGGACCAATGCGAGGATCCTCGTGAGTTCTGCGTTTAATCCGGTCTCCCTCCACCTCCTGAATCCCAATCCTCAGGCCTCCTCCACCCAGCTACCTTCTTTGAGGAACTGGGGGCTCTGGGCCTGTCCCTAGCACCGTTCATGAGCTCAGCCCCCTCCTATCATCTACCTGCCACCTTTGGGGAAACTGAGGACCCAACACTTCTCTCCAAGTCTGCCTGGGTACTCCAGTCTCCTCCCCTCATTCAAACACTTTTCTTGTTCCAAATAGGAACCTCACATCATTTCTATGCTGATAGCCCCATTTCCTCCCCTGAGGCTAGGACCTCCCAAAACTTCTCTGGTTTTTTTTTTTTTTTTTTTTTGGGGGGGGGGTTACTCGCAATCGAATTTAGGACCTCAAGCTTACCAGGAAGACGCTGTGCCGCTAAGCTATATCCCCCGCTGCTCTTCGAGTTCTGAAACCCTCCCTACTCGAGCTGGAGAGCTTCAGCAATGTCTCCCAATCTCCCCTCCCCAGTGTTCTTTTTCCAGGGACTTCTGCCTTCTCCCTCCCTGAGACTTCAGGCCAGAACCCATTTCTTCTAAAAATTATTTTAGTTCATTTATTATATTTTTATTTTTGTAGTGCTGGAAATGGAAGCAGGGGCCTATCTCATGCTAGGCACTCTACCACTGAGCTACATCCCCAGATCTTTTTATATTGAGACAGAGCCTTACAATGTAGCTCAAGGGGGCCTCAAACTCATGATCTTTCTGCTCCAGCCTGCTGGTAACTGGGATTACCGGGGTGTGTTGCTTTTTTCCTCGGCACTTAAAACATTTTTTTTTAACTTTAAAAAATTGTTAGTTTGCCCATGTGGGACTCAGGCTTGCTATCCACCTGCCTCAGCTTCCCAAGGGTGGGATTACAGGTGTGCATCACCATGCCATCACCGTCATTCCTTTTAAAGCTTGGGATCCCTACCTCTACCCTGGGTCCCTCAGACCAGTGATGGAGAACCTTTTAGAGCTTTCAAAGATAACACTGGGGCACATGTGTGACAGGTTTGCCTCCACTGCTTAGGCCCTTTCTAGATTTCAGAGTACTACCCCCCCCCCAGCTAATCCATTTCCCAAACCTGCCCTAATCCAAGACCCTCCCACCTCCCCTGGAAAGCCAGGGGTCCCTTCCCAATCCAAGAGCCACCTCCATCAATCTCTCCAGACTCAGATTTGGAAGCCCTTACCCCCATCCTGCTTCCAAGCCAAGAACACAGACTTGAGGTGACCGGGCCTGGGTTGAGAGCCTCATTCCTGTTCTCCTTAGCAGTGCATCTTCCCTTACCTGTCTGGGCCTCAGTTTCCATCTGTACACTGGGGCTGTGCAACACTATGGAGCCTAAAAGGTTGTCTGTCACAAGGACAAGGTTTGGTGGCATGTGGAGAGCACTGGGAACCTTCCTGCTTCCAGTCCCCTGACCCTGACCCTGGCCTTTTTCCTGTCTCTGCCCCCACCCACCTCTCTGCCCCCCACAGCCGTATGCCTAAAAGGCTGCAGCCCGGAGCACGGCTTCTGTGAGCAGCCGGATGAGTGCCAGTGCCTGGAGGGCTGGACTGGGCCCCTCTGCACTGTCCCTGTCTCAACCAGCAGCTGCCTTGGGCCCCGGGGCCCGTCCTCTGCCACCGCTGGATGCCTCGTACCTGGGCCTGGACCTTGTGATGGGAACCCTTGTGCCAACGGGGGCAGCTGCAGCGTCAGTATTCTCACTTCCTCCTTGTCCCGAGTTCCCAGTGCACCATCCTTGGGGATCCCTGAGACACCAGCTGGGGCGAAGTCTGGGAGTAGGTGTCCAGGGGGGCTTCCTGGAGGTGGGCAGCCTGCATGTGGGGCCTTGAAGTAGGATTTGGTGGTGGGGATGGGATTGAGGAGCAAAGGCTGGGTACGTGGCACTGAAAGCGGGAATGACCGAGTCCTTGGCTGCCTGCTGAGGTGAGAGGGGTGTGGTGGAGACATGGGAGGAGGCTTCCTGGGACCAGCCCAGTGCCTGACTTGTGCAGTGTGCTGGTTTGGCCAAGGGGAGGTGATTGGCGAGGGTAGGCCAGGCCAGTGGTGTGGCAGCACGAAAGGCAGAGAGGGGACTGAGCTTGGTGTGTGTGCTGGGACAGAGGAGAGCCTGGATGCTGCTCCCCTGGGAGGGTGAGACACACTCAGGTTTAAGGTAGAGGTGGGGTGGGGCTGGGAGAGAAGCCTTCGGACAGGAGGTGGGTTTACAGCTAGGGCTCCAAGTAGGATTTGTCTACATGGCCAGTTCTAGGAGGGCAGAGCAAGCAGGTGGCATTAGACTGGCACAGGCCAGAGGTGGGGGTGGCTGCTCTGGTGCCCGAGCTTCCTCCATGGGTCACACATACAGAGGGTAATCCTGGAGCAGGGCGAGGGGCCATCAGGGAGGAGTCCAGGTGAGGCCCCTGCACACTAGACTTGTTGGGTGAAGACCCAGAAGGGAGATGGGCTTCTGCTCCACGGAACCTCCTGTCCGAAGCCCTCTTGCCCCTGCCCAGGAGACGTCTGGCTCCTTCGAGTGCACCTGTCCCCGGGGCTTCTACGGGTTGCGGTGTGAGGTCAGCGGGGTGACCTGTGCTGATGGACCTTGCTTCAATGGTGGCTTGTGTGTTGGGGGCGCCGATCCAGACTCTGCCTACGTCTGCCACTGCCCACCTGGTTTCCAAGGCTCCAACTGTGAGAAGAGGGTGGACCGGTGCAGCCTGCAGCCCTGTCAGAATGGTGAGGCATGGCGGCTACAACAGTGAGGATGGGAATCCTGGCTCTCCGTCCCACTTTCCTCTGCCAGCCCATTTGTTCTGTAAAGCCGGCAGAGCTGTTCCCTACCTCATAAGAATTTAGTGAGCATTACCACGTGTCAGGCCTTAACCTAGGCACGGCAGGGAATGAGACAGAAAAACCCGGTCCTCTTGAAGTGCAGGAGGTGGGAATGTGCCTCAGGTGTGGCTGGAGCAGAGGGAGAGGAGAACCCTGAGAGCAGAGGTCAGGCAGGTGGTGGGCAGGTCTGTGCGGCCTGCAGGACTCTTGATGTCACTTGGCGGGAGGTGGTGCCATAGCCATCTGAGTGGAGTACATAGCTTCTCTCTGTGTAGAGGCTCAAAGATTAAATGAAGGGCTGGGGACTAAGCTCAGTGGCTCAAGCACTTGCCTGGTAAGCGCGAGGTCATGAGTTTGATCCCCAGTACCAAAAAAAAAAAAAAAAAAAAAAAGATTAAATGAGATCTCAAACACTAAAGGCCTGGCACAGCAGCACGGTGGTGCAAGTGGATGTAATGATTCTCCAAAACCACCAAGCACTCTCTGCACTCTCTGGACTGACTGGTACTGGGGACACAGCAGTAACCAGACCATCTTTGGACCCTGCCCTCCCCTCCTGGGGCTGCCAGCTGTCTGCCCCAGGGCTCATGGCCTGGCCATCTTTTGTGCCCAGAGTGAGCAGGACTGTGAGGAGGGCCTCGCAGGGTCTCGCAGGGCAATCGGGGCGGTTGGTGCAGTGGGGGATGGAAAGGAAGAAAAGTCAGGGAGACTTCTTGGAGGAAAGGGCGTCTGAGCAGACCTTTAGCTACGGGAGAGAGGTGTGAAAAAAAAAAAAAGACGCAGAGTGAAGAGAGGATGCTGGCTGGGACAGAGGCCAAACGGTTCAAAGATGTAGTTCTGGAAACTGTTAACTGTAAGTATGTCTGAAGACGAGAGAAAGAGCCAAAGAGGTGATGCAGGATGATTCCAAGACTTCCTCAGGCAGAACCAAACACCTGCCCTTTTCCAAGCCAAACCCATGAGGCTGGCTGGTCCTTCAGCTGGAGAACGGGGACGTGGGGTGGGGACCGCAGGGCTCCGGGCGGGCCGAGGTGGGGGCCTCTCGGACGCTCCCCTGACGCCCCCTTCCCCACAGGCGGGGTCTGCCTGGACCTGGGTCACGCCCTGCGCTGCCGCTGCCGCGCTGGCTTCGCGGGGCCTCGCTGCGAGCACGACCTGGACGACTGCGCCGGCCGCGCCTGCGCCAACGGCGGCACGTGCGTGGAGGGCGGCGGCACGCGCCGCTGCTCGTGCGCGCTGGGCTTCGGCGGCCGCGACTGCCGCGAGCGCGCGGACCCCTGCGCCGGGCGCCCCTGCGCTCACGGCGGCCGCTGCTACGCCCACTTCTCGGGCCTCGTCTGCGCCTGCGCGCCTGGCTACATGGGCGCGCGCTGCGAGTTCCCGGTTCACCCCGACGGCGCAGGCGCGGTGCCCGCGGCCTCGCCGGGTCTCGGGCAGACGGATCCCCGGCGCTTCCTTCTGCCGCCGGCTCTGGGGCTGCTGGTGGCCGCAGGCATGGCCGGCACCGCGCTCTTGCTGATCCACCTGCGCCGCCGCAGCAGCCCTGGCCGGGATTCTGGGTCCCGCTTGCTGGCGGGGACCCCAGAGCCATCGCTCCAGGCGCTCCCTGATGCATTCAACAACCTGAGGACGCAGGAGGGTTCCGGGGATGGCCAGAGGTGAGGGCCACAGTCATGTGTGCCTTGTCGCTTCTGGCTGTTCTCACCCAGCTCCCTAATTATTGGTTGCATCTTGATTGGCCTCACCTGTGCCCTGTTTTGTACTCTTCGGTTGGGTCATTCCCGTATTCCCTTATCATCTTTGATGGGGGGGGGGGCACGACAAGAGCTGACAATACAAGGTCTCAGTCCTTCCTTTCTTTCTTTCCACAGCTCGACCACCGGTTGGATTCGCCCGGAAGATGGAGACTCGCGATCGATTTACATCATATCCGCTCCTTCCATCTATGCTCAGGAGGTAGCTGCGCTCCTGTGGGATCAGCACACACACCAACACATACTGGGCCAAGGAAGTCTTGATTTTTCTCTAGCCGCCCTCCATTCTGTTTGTGAAACAAGGATGGTAGCGCCTCGGCAAGGGCTCTGTGTCCACTTTTCAGTGCTGACAGTCCTGTTTTGCTGTTGTTTAGGCTACTGGCCAACTTCAGTTTGGAGGCCCAGGGCTAACGAGGTCATAATGAGAACCTCTCCTGGAGAGGCAGAAGGGAACCAAAAGAGCCTTTCCTAATGTGTCTCACTCATTTTTTTTTTTTTTTTTCTTCTCGTTTCATTTTCTAGGCCTGACCTGACCCTCTCTCAGCGCCTGAAGACAGAGCCTGGATATGTTTGTTGTTCAGTGTTACCCAATCTCTGCCCCACACACTCCGGAGTGCTAGCTGAATGGGTGGCTGGGAGAACTTCTGTTGGAAATTGTACATAATGGTTATTTATATCCCTTTTTTTTTTCCTCTTCCCATCTCACCAGAAACATCTTTATAAAGACTCTTATTTTTTACCAAGTATTCCAGGCTTGGGGCTTTGTATATGTTATTAAGGCTGAGGGGTAGCTAGATGTGGTGGCGCATGCCGTAATCCCAGCACTTGGAAAGCTGAGGCAGGAGGATCACTACAAGTTTAAGACCCTCCTGGGCTACGAAGTGAGTTCAAGCCCAGTCTGAACTGCAGAGTGAGACCTTGTCTCAAAAAGGCAAAACAAAACAACCCCAAAAAAAATGAGGGGAAGAGATTTGTTCTGGAGAAGATAATAGATGGGTTATATTGCAGGAGTCAACCATTCAGATTGGTTGAATAAAGAGATTTTAGAGCCAGGTGTGGTGGCACACACCTGTAATCCCAGTGTTCTGGGAGCTGAGGCTGAGGTATCAAGATTGCTCCAGTGTCTTAGCCAGCCTGGGAGACCTAGTGAATTAGATACCAGCCTGGATACATACCAGCAAGACCCTCCCTGGGAGAAGAAGCATTCTGTAAAAACACAGAAGTATAACAAATTTAGTTTTGCAGATCTTAACTAGCTTTGTGACTGAATCAGGAAGCAGTCAGTATTAAAAATGGTTCGGAAAGCTCCCTTCTACAACATGGGCAGGTTGGATTTATAGAGAACAGAGAAAAGGTAGTGACAAACTGGATGTGACACACAGGGACAGCCAGTTGGTTAAAGCTGGTGTCTGTCTTATTTGAACATGGCTGGAACAGTTGGCCATTTGTAATTGGACACGACTCAGCTACTTGTTATGAGTCTGCACAACCAGTTGGCTTGTAATTCACTATATAGGGAGGTCCTGTTAGGCCAGTTCGCGTTAACATTGTATACAAATCCAAATAAAAAATCCTAGTCAGGTGTACTGGGTAACAGACTGGAGGATGGCAAATTTGAGGCTAGGCTGGATAATTTAGTAAGAACTTGTCTCAACATAAAAAAAAAATAGATCAATGAATAAAGGTAAGCTGGGATTATAGCTCAATATGAAGGCCCTGTATTCAATCCCAGGTACCTCCTCCCACCAATTAAAAGATGAAAAAATTAGAAAACCATTGGTGGGAATGGCTTCATGCAGGGCTGGGCATGAGCTCAGTGTCTCTCTGTGGATGGTTGTTTTTACCTCCTAATCACCTTCATGGTAAGGCAGGCTTTCACTGGCCTGGGTACTCACTCTAATGCTACCCTGGGACCAGGTGGGGACAAGTTGACACTTGGGGGATACATACCCAAATTGTAGCAACCGGCATTGAGGGTTGTTTCCACCGTGTGTTGTTTTGGGAATTAAACCTGTAGCAATTGTTTTATGCAGGAAGATCCTTTGCTTTGTATTTAACAAGATGTCTAGAAAGAGGTGTGGCTCATGGCGTTGGCCGGCTATTGCTGGGGGTGATGCTGTGTAAACTCAGTGGCATTAGAAAGGGAACATCTGTTCTTGCTCCGGAGTGTATATATTTGCTGGAGTTTTCCTGCCCTGGGCTGGGTGGGGCAGTGGGGGTCCTTGTGGATGTGTGCCTGGCGAGCTGGAGTCTGCTGGCTTCCCTGCCCTCCAGCAGGGGGCTTTGGCTTGTTCTTTTGCCTGACATGGGGGTCCTAAGGAGGGAGTAAGTGCCTTTGAACATCTCTGTGATCCTTTCTACTGTTGCCTCTCACTTCCTGCAGCCAGCCCAGATTCCAGAAGCAGGAGTAGACCCTGCCTCTTGCTGGGAGAAGGCAGAGTCCCATTTCCAAGGCCATGGATGGGGAAGGCACAGCTGAGAACCAAGGCTGCTTTTTGCCTTCAGGCTCCCAACATTGGAACATCTTTCCCCTTTGAGGCTAAAACCATCCAGGCTGTTGGATAGGGACACTTAGTTCATGTCCTCACTCAAATAAGTGAAAACAAGACAAAGCTGGGCATGATGGATGCCTGCTGCTACAGCCCTCTAGGAGGCTGAGGCAGGGGGACTGTGAGTTTGAGGCCAGCTTTGGGGGTTCCCCACATAAACACTGTCAGCTTCTAGAACAAGCCAGGCTTTTCCTCTGCTTCCAGCAAACTCCTCCTTTGCCTAACAACCTTCTGTTCCTTATCTCTTTCATTAATTCCATGGACGAGGTCTTATCCTAGGCACTGAGGATATAGCAGTGAATAAGGCAGACATACCAGCCTGGCTGAGGCAGGAGGGTAGAAAGTTTGAGCCCAATCTGGACAACCTAGCAATTTGGGAAAATCCTGTCTCTAAATGAAAGGCTGATGTGGTGGTGCACACCTATAATCCCAGTGGTCAGGAAGATGAGGCAGGAAGATTGATGCAAATTCGAGACCAGTTTGGGCTAGAAAGGGGTTCAAGGTGAACTGCATAGTGAAATCCTGTCTTTAAAAAAAAAATGAATAAATAAATGAGTTGGGAATGTGGCTGAGTGTGATGGGTTCAGCTGAATGCATCCTGGCCTTAGCCACTCTGTCACTCCCATGGACAGGAAGCCTAGTGAGGACAGGATCCAGGCACCATTTTGTCACCAGAATAACCATGCTGAGCACAGGAAGCTGGGCAGCTGCCAGCGGGGCCATCTGTGGAACCTCAGCCTCGGGGAACACGGTGTCACAGTGCCCCCTTGTGATCACCTCGAGACTTAGAATCCTGCGGCCTGAGGAAACGGCGTCGCAGGGCGCCCTACCTGGGTTACAGGGTCACTTCTAGTCCCCATGAACCACCAGGGTCGGGCCCCCACCCCCGCCCCCGCCCCCGCCCCTGGCCGGGCTCGGCCTTCTACCCCAGTCCGGGCTTCCATCCTGTCCCGGACCCCAACTGTGGGCCGGACTTTGACCCCAGTCCGGGCCTCGAATCCCACCCGGGCTCCTGCTCCAGTGCACGCGTTGACCCCTGTTCAGACCTCCACCCTTACCCGGGCTCCTGCTCCAGTGCACACGTTGACCCCTGTTCAGACCTCCACCCTTACCCGGGCTCCTGCTCCAGTGCACGCGTTGACCCCTGTTCAGACCTCCACCCTTACCCGGGCTCCTGCTCCAGTGCACGCGTTGACCCCTGTTCAGACCTCCACCCTTACCCGGGCTCCTGCTCCAGTGCACACGTTGACCCCTGTTCAGACCTCCACCCTTACCCGGGCCCCTGCCCCTGTGCAAACCTTGAACCCGGTTCAGGCATCGTTCCCCAGCCGGCCCCCTGCTCCTGTACAAACCTTGACCCCTGTTCAGGCCTCAGTTCCTACCCAGGCCCCGACCCACATGCAAACGTTAAACCTGATCCGGGCCCCGACACCACCAGTCCAGGCCCCAACACCGGTCCGGACTCTAACTCTAGTGCGAACCTCGACCCCTTTTCGGGCCTCAACCCCGGTCCAGACCCCAACTCTAGTCCAGACTCCGGCTCCAGACCAGTTGCCTGTACCAGCCCCAGCACCAGCCTGGATCCTGGCTGCGATCTCCTCTGTGGAATCCTCGAACCCAGTGCCACCTTTGGATCCACTCACAGAACCTGCCCCGGAGCCAGCTTTGTCTTCTGAGAAGCATCCTGCGCTGACCCCAAAGCTCGAGGCACCGGTAGTCGGCACTGTAGCCAAGAGGGACCTGGAGCCCCTTCTTGCCCTTAGCGTGCCCGCTGCTGAAGACCTGGGGGTCCCCCTGGGGGCCACCCCGAGGGCAGACTCACTGGCCTCCAAGATGAAGGGTGCCCCCACTCCTGGGCCCATTGTGCCATTCCTGCCAGTTTCAACCAATGCATTCGCCTCCACCAGCAAGGACTTATACCCGGACAACAAAATCTTGATTCGAGTGACTTACTGGTGAGGGGCTGCCTCCTCTGACCCCCCCACCCCCGGGGGCGTGGAGGCTGAGGTCGGGCAGGGTGAAGGGAGGAGTTGGAAAGAACCCCAGAGTTCCTACTTCCAGGTTGGAAACTTGGCTCTATCAGTTCTTCTCTTTAGGGTAGGAGAGCTCTGGGGTTCAAATCCGCCCTATGGCTCAAAGTTTCATTCACTGCCATTCATTCATTCATGCATTCATGTGTGTGAAATGTCTATTGAAAGAACTGTGGGTGCAAAGGCCCTGAAGCAGGACCATTTGGGGTGCTGGGAGACCAGCCAGGGGTCTTTGTGATTGGGAGAATGGGGGCCAGTGGCAGAGAGGAGATGGGGCCGGTCACAGGGGCCTGGGAGCTGCTCCCCCTGCCCTGCGTCTATGGGAAGCTCCTGATCTGGGGAGGGAGGTGACCCCTCTCAGTCTTTTCTAGGGTGCCTCCGGGGTAGGGAACATACTGATGCAGTGTCTTTCCTTGTCTCTCACCTCCCGCCTGCCTTGGCCTTCAGTGGTCTCTGAAGCTACGGCTTTCAGGTGAGTAGTTTTGGCTTTGGAGGGGAGTGTGTTGGGGTGGGAAGACCCAGAAGAGTTCCCGTTTCCCTTCCTGTGAACCCCTGTGATCCCCTGACCCCATCTTTTGCCCTCAGTACACTCTACTGAAAATGAGTCTGGAGCAGCAATTTCCAAACCTTCTACGCTTTGTAAGTGGGGGTGCTGTGGAGCCCGGGGAAGATCAGGACTCCCCGTCCAGGCCTTCGCATGGGAGCGCTCAGCCTGCTTCCTCTCACAATGTTCCCTCCACAGGAGGATGAAAGAGCGACCCAGGTTACCGGGGAGTTCGAAGTGTTCGTGGAGGGGAAACTGGTCCATTCCAAGAAGGTGACTGTGAGCGGGACTGACCCCGAGGCAGGTGGAGCTGGGGCGGGCGGGCCGGCAGCCGGACACGGCTGGGTCTTTCTGTGTCCAGCAAGGCGATGGCTTTGTGGATGACAACAGGATGCAGACCATTGTGAATGCTATCAATGAGGAGATCAAGAGAAGGTAGCAGGCGGCAGCGGGGCCCAGGTGAGTGAGGGGTGGCAGCAGGCGGGCATCTGGGCTTGGGGCCAAGGGCAGTGAGCTGGGTCCTTCCCGAGCTCAGCCAGTCCTCACTGCTTGAATCCTGACCAGTGCCCCACACCCTTTCCTGAGCCTCGGTTTCCTCCTGTGTGTAAATGGAATTGCTGACACAATTCCATGACGGGACTCATCCCAGGCAGTAAAGAGCACATGGCTCATGCCAGACCTCAGTGCCTCTCGGAAGAGCTTTGTTTTTTGGTTTTGTTTTTAAGAGACAGGGTCTTGCCATGTAGTCCAAGCTGGCCTCAAACTCGAAGTGATCCTCTTTCCTCAGCTTCCCCAGTCCTGGGATTACAGGTGTGTGCCGCCATGCCTGGCCTTAAAAGAGTTTTGAAAGCTTGTTTTTAGCTTTTAATTGTAAAGTGGTAGCTGGTAAATTTAGGATTACATGAATTAAAATGAAGTATGTTAAAAATTCAGTTCTTAGTTTCATTAGCTTAACAGTCTTGTGTGGCCAGCGTACTGGGCTGAACTGCATGGAATTCCTCATGGCCAAAAGTACTATTAGTAACGCTGACCTATGGTATAAAATGATGTGCATAATAGCTTATCTACCATCAACATTTTTTTTTTTTTTTTTTTTTTGAGTGCTGGACACCGAACCCAGGGCCTTGTGCAGTTTAGGCAACACTCTACCATCCTATGGGACTCCGAGCCTGATTCTGAATTTCACGCTGAGTGTAGTGAGCAGTACATGCCTTGAGTTCCTAGCACTCTGGAGACTGAGGCAGGAGGGTAAATCACCAAGTTCAAGGCCAGCCTGGTCTACATAGCGAACTCAAAACCAACCTTGAACATAGGGAGACCATGTTCTAAAAAGTAAAATCCTCTAAAACCCAAAACCAGTGTAGTACCGTGGTACCTTAGTTTGCAAACTTAATTCTTTCCATGATTCTGGTGCAAACCAAATTGAACAAGTACTGAATCAGGTTCAATGGTTAGGTTTCATAATTGCACATAACATATTTTGCTAATCTTGTTTTTTTTTTTTTAATTTTTTTTTTTTTTTTTTGAGGCAAGGTCTCCTATGTAGTTCAGGCTCACTTTGAACTCACTATGTAGCCCAGACTGGCCTAGAACTCATGGCGATCCTCCTGCCTCAACTTCCTGATTGCTGAGATTATGGATGTGAACCACTTTGCCCAGCTGGATCCTGGGTTTTTAAAAGCAGTCACTATTTATACATTTGGAGCTGCTTCTGGTTTAGTCTTTTGTCTTTAGTTGAGGGAAGACTTTATTAAGGTGACAGTTGAGCACTCAAAAGCAGTGAGGGGTTGAACCTGGTAGATATCTAGGGATCCCAGGCAGCAAGGGTCCTGTGGTAGCAGTGTGCCTGGTGTGTTTGTAACAGCAAAGACTACAGTGGGCTTTGCAATCCATAGAAAGCAGGGAGACAGTGCCTGACACAGTAGATTCTACATGAACAATTATTTTGATGGAGCTGTCCTTTTAATTTGTTCTCTTTTCTCCCCATGTTAGGAGCTGCAGCAGGATGATGAGAAGGGCTGAAATGTTGTTGAGTCAGGTCCTTTTCTGATGGTGGCTGGGCTGAGTGGAGCTGGGGAGGGCTGAAAGGAAATATACAACCTGCCTCTGCTGGATGTGGCCTGACTGCATCTGCTGTCACTGCATGAATGACCGAAGTCCATAGAAGTCACCTGCTCCAGGAATCCCAGCATGTCCTGCCTTCTGGCCCAGGGGTGAGGGGTAGGAGAGAGAGAGAGGAAGGTTAGTGCTGTAGTTGGGGCCCTAAATGTCCCCCAGAGGCTCATATGCTATGCTACAGACTTGGTGTCCCAGCCCTGGTGCTGCTGGGAGGTGGTGGCACCTCTAACAGGTGAGGCCAAGTGAAGAAGTCGAGTCACTGTGAGTCCTCTTGAAGGGGCAGTGGGACCCCAGCCCTTCCCCTCTCTTTGCTTCCCTGCTGTCACAGCATGAGCTGATGTCCTCTGCCATACGCTTCCTCCATGAGATACAGTGACACTACAGGCCCAAAGCACATGGGCCAGCTGGCCACAGACTGAAAGCTCTGAAGCCATCAACTAAAAGCGATCCTCCTATAAACCCAGGGTCTCAGGTATCTCGTCACAGTGAGGAGGAGCCGACCAGCAGCATGGAGTCTGAGACCAGCCCCCTAGCTCTTGCTGGTCCTGCCTCAGTCTCTCCTGCTGTCATGAGCACCTTGTTTCTTCCTTTCTCAGGTCCTGTGTTCAAGATGTGTTTGGAAAACTTCCCACCTTATTGACATTTTTTAGGGGCTGTGATAGCAACAGGGGTTGTGCAAGTCTTGAATCCTTTACAGGCCAAACTCCACAGCACCCCCAAGCTCACTTTTTGCCTGGTAGGTCTTGGAAGTCCCAAGGAAGCAGAGGACCTGGAGGAGGTATTTGTCCATTCAGTTTATGGGTCCCCTGCTGTGCTCCTTTGTGAACATATAAAAGAGGGTGTTCTCTTGGCTTCTCCCCCTAGCACCAACCATGTCATATGGTCAGATGTTTCCTTGTGTCAGTCAGCTTTCCATCACTGTAACATATCTGCAATAAAAAGAAAGGTTTAGTCTGGCTCAGGTGTAGAGGTTTCAGTGTGTGACCATGGGGGCCCATTATTTTGAACCTGTGGAGAGGCAGTGCAATGTGGTGGGAGTGCTCACGTTATGGTGGCTGAGTAGAGAGGCACAGGAAGAGACGGGCCCACAGTGCTCTCTGCAGGCAGAGACCACTAGAGACCCAAAGACCTCACTAGGCCCCATCTCAAAGGCTCTCCACTTGCCCTTAGCAACAGTGGAGGTTTTATGTATGGGCTTCTGGGGCCACTTACATAGATCAAGCATTCCAGGTGTTCCATTGAAATGGTACTTGGAATATTATTATCTAGCTTCAATGGTTATAATATAAAATAAGTATGAAAACTAATGAACTTAGAAGGAATATTATTACCTGGCTTAAATGGTTGTATTAGAAAATAAGATTAAAAAAAAAAAAGAAGAAAAAAGATGCTCAAATATAGTCTTAGGGCCAGGGATTTAGCTCAGCAGCATAAGCACCTGCCTGGTAAGTGCAAGGTCATAAATTCAATCCCTGGTACTGGAAAAAAAATCAAAAATCAATGAACTACAACAATTTATTTATTTTGTATTTTCAATGGATTTTTTTATTTTTCAAATCTGTTTTCTTTCTTTTTTTGTCTTTTTGAGACAGGGTCTCGCTATGCAGTTCAGGCTGGCCTTGAGCTCACTTTGTTAGCTCAGGCTGGTCTCAATCTCGCAAAGATCCTCCTGCCTCAGCCTCCTGAGTGCTGGGATTACAGGCATGAGCCACTGTGGGGGATGAGGTGTCACTTTGTAGGCCCAACCCCCTCTAACCTGCAATTTACAATAGCCGCCCTGGTATGCGAGACGGAGGTAGAATAGGAATGCCTGTTCTCAGTGAGACCCCTCACCCTCTGGAATCCATACTGTGAGCTGGCTTTGTTTTGCAGAAGTCTTGAGGAAGTGGCTGGCCACCCTTTGTGACACTAACAGCAGACAAATTAACAACATTCTTGAGCTAATGAATTTCTTCCTGGGCTAGAGAAGTTATGAGAACTGGTTGTGATTATTTACTTCACTTAGATAGCTTTAGAATAAACATTGTAGTCTGTCACGTTGTAGCTTGCCACAAAGAATGCCTTTTCACTACTTAATTATCTGGGCTCTGTGAACTGATCGGGTTTACTATATATGAATCCTAAAATAAAGATTGTGCGTGCAGTGCAGTGTAACGCGGTGCAGACAGTAAAGGTGCCGTGTCCTGTCTTCCTTTCCGAGCACTGTACCCCCCGTGTCCTGATCAGGCGTGTGTGCGTGTTTACCTTTCCCGGAGTTCAGAGTGCTCTAAGACACTCACGACAAGCCACTATGCCAGGCTATTTCTTTTTTTTTTTTGTCTTTTTGAGACAGGGTCTTTATGGGGGTTCAGGCTGACCTTGTAGTCCAGGTTGGTCTCGAATTTGCAATAATCCTCCTGCCTCAGCTTCCTGAGTGCTGGGATTACAGGCGTGAGTCATCATGCCCCGCTTAAATCCAATTTCTTTCTTTCTTTTTTTTTTTTTTGTGGTCTTTTTCCTTTTTTATCGGTACCAGGGATCGAACTCATGACTGCCTGCTTGCAAGGCAGGCGCTTATGCTGCTGAGCTAAATCCCCAGCCCCCTTAAATCCAATTTCAAAGAGAAAAAAAAATTTCAAAACACGTCAGTTGGGGGCAACAATGGTACACACATTGCACACTGTCATTCCCAAATCATTTACCCAGAGCACAGGACATCTGCATTCAATTGTCCAAACAATATCTGCACAAATCTTTCTCTTCAGTGAACTCATATATACATATACATAATGTTGTTTCAGCTTCTCACACTAGTGAGATACTATGTTTACACATGTGTATCTGATTTATTTCACTTATAAGTATGGTCTCAAGTTGTATCTATTTACCTATAAAAGTCCCCAGTATGGGGGGCTGGGGATTTAGCTCAGTGGCATAAGTGCCTGCCTTGCAAGCAGGCAGTCGTGAGTTCAATCCCTGGTACCGATAAAAAGGAAAAAGACAAAAAAAAAAAAAAAGCCTAGCATGAAAAAGAATGCTTTGATAATTTTTATGGAACAGAACTTGGGGCTAGGCATGGTGGCACACTCTTGTAATTCCAGCACTTGGGAGGCTGAGACAGGATCTTTGCAAGTTTGAGAGCAGCCTGGGCTACAAAGTGAGCTCAAGGCCATCCTGTACTACACAGTGAGACCCTGTTTTTTTTGGGGGGGGGTCTTTCTTTTTCATTTTTATCGGTACCAGGGATCGAACTCACGACTGCCTGCTTGCAAGGCAGGCGCTTATGCCGCTGAGCTAAATCCCCAGCCCCTGAGACCCTGTTTTGAAACACACACGCACACACACACAAAACAACTTGAAAGGCTGAGGGAGGAAGACTGCCATGAGCTCAAGGACAGCCTGGGTTAAATTCAAGACACAGCAAGACTCTGTCTCAAAAAGACAAAAATTTTTTAAAAATGAAACAAATATAACATTGATCTAAAGATTGAAAATGTTATTGAACTTAAACCAATTTCACGTATGAATTCTAATGTAAAATCTTAAAGAAAATGTTAGCAGACAGAGCTGGATGTGGTGGTGCATTCCTGTAATTCCAGCACGCAGGATGCTGAAGCTGGAAATTGGAGGCCAGCTTGCTGTACATAATGAGTTCAAGACCAGCCTGAATATATGGTGAGACCCTGTCTCAAAAACAAACAAATGAACAGACAAACTGTTAATTCGTTCAGTTGTTTTTTTTTAAGGAACAGTCCCCAAAGCATGCAATTCAGGCTTAAGTAGCACATTTGTAGAGATTGAGTACTAACATGTAAGTATGTTACCTGCATAATCCGGTGTTCTCTTTCCCCTGCCTCCACAGTACCTGTTTGAGGGGTGATTTATTGACACATCCATATGGCTCAAAAGCTTGTTGTTACTGGTGTGCTTGGCAGATGTTTCCTTGCCACTTCCCCTCCCAGCTACCGCCACCCTGAGGTTTTTGTTTTTGTCTTTTTGCGCAGGGTCTCACTATGCAGTTCACGCTGGCCTTGAACACACTTTGTAGCCCGGGTTGGCCTCCAACTCGCAGCAATCCTCCTGCCTCAGCCTCCAAAGTGCTGAGATTACAGGTGTGCGCCACCACACTTGGCTAGTAACACAGGTTTTAAACCTTTCAGTCTGAATTGGTATTAAAGGAACTATTACCTAGGCTTAGAATTTCAGTACTTAAGTAAAAATTCTTCCAAGTTTGTCTCCCAGCGCAGCTTTGGTTCCATTCGCATGTACGCAGCACCTGGGAGCAGCTGTCACAGCCTGCGAGCCCCTCAGCCCCCCACTCACAGCAGCACCTTCAAAGGGTCACTGGCTCCAAACGCCGGGTGGGGGTGGGGGTTGGGGGGCGTGTGCTCCCCAGAGCACATCTGAAACAGGAACTCGGTGTCTCATCATCTCATCTTCTCAGAAAGTGCGTTTCCTCCCAAATCTACCTTTGGGTCATTTTCTAAGGATGCCTTTTCATACCGCACCCCCGCCCCAGCCCCCAGGATTCCCTGGTGCTGCAGAACAATGGAGCCCGAGCCCAGGCCTTGCCTGTGGTACATGCTGCGCTCACTAGTGCAAAGCTTGGCTGATTAGTGCAAAGCTTGGCACGGGCGCTCTAGGCGCTCAGAGGCTGCGGGAGGATCGGAAGGAGGTGGGGCTGATCTGAGCCTGGAGACAGTGTGTGCCACCGAGGCCTGCGGGGACTGGCGCTTAGCGCTTCATCAGCACCGTGCTCACCATGCTTTCCCCGTGCTTTTCCGACTGAGCTACCGTGCACAGGTTCGGCCACCCGGTCCGCCAGGTCCGTGCTCCGGATCGCGGGTCGCACCTGGCAGCCAGCCTAACACTCCCTGCTCTCTTAACTTTGTGGTTTTGCTTTAGAAAATAGTAAGTCGGGGGCTGGGGATTTAGCTCAGCGGCATAAGCACCTGCCTTGCAAGCAGGCGGTGATGAGTTCGATGCCTGGTACCGATAAAAAAGAAAAAAAAAAAAAAATAGTAAGTCTTCATTACAGGCACGGTAAACTGGTACAAGTTATGAATTGAGCGCAAATTACTAAAGCGAGCTTAAGAAAGAATATGCTGGGCTGAAAAGGTTACTGGGTGGAAAAACTTACCATACTTTAAGGCTGGACTCCCGCCGCACCCGCGCACGCACACACTTATGCACACCCTTTGGAAACTTTCCAAGACCATCTCCTAATCCAGGTAAACACCCTAAAATCTCAGGGCATAAAGGTCCATTTGGACGCAAAGTGGATTTAGAGAAGGAAACTGAAGGTGTGGAGTAGAACCACTTCAGTTTGGCAAAGATCGCTGTCGGTGTCAAGTTCAGGCCCAGAGGGAGTAGCAGCACTTAAACCCAGGTGTGCTCAAGTCTGAGGCAGGACCAGGTGAAAGGGGAGGCCTGGCACAGAGAGCTGCACTCCCAGAGGAAGGGTCACCCCGAGTCAGACGGCGGCTACTGACCCTCGGGCAGGAGCCAGTGGTGAGGCCTAACGCTCAGTGCCTGGCTCTTTTCCAGAACAGCTTTCAATTTATAAACAACAAAGCTTCATTTCAATAGCCAGAAACAGACCTTGGAATACTTTTTTTTTTTGTACCAGGAATCGAACTTGGGACTTCATGCTTGCCAGGCAGGCACTTATGCGCTAAGTTAAATCCCCAGCTGGAATAGTTTTTTACCAGTTCGTTTGCAGGATATAATGATGAGGGAGCGGGTACATGCACATAACACATCTTAATTCCTTTTACTTCCCTTGGGATGTTCTTAAAAATATGCAGTCATGTAAAGAAAACTTTAAAATATACTTGGGAACATAAAAAAAAAAGTACCGGAACAAATGGGGACTTACCAGATGGGGAGACATCATGAAAATGTAGGTTTTCACTCAAAAGCATATAAAGTTAATACAATCCAAATAAAAATACCACCAGCTTTTGTAAAAACTGCAATAAATAAAGATGGTCTAAGTCTTACACGAGAAGATAACTGAGTAGACAGAAAAAAACTAAAAAGCAAATGAAGGAAGAATAATACTCCTAGAATGTACAATATTTCAAATGAGTAACAACTTTTATGTTAGCATTTTTATTTTTTACTTAAGTTTATTGGTACTTTGTAGGTATACAAAATGATCACATTCATTACAGGGAATTTGTAGCTGTACATGATATAAATGATGGTAGCATTTAGTATCAAAGCAATCCTAAAGTGGCAAAGCCTTTCTTACTGTGACTAAAAACCCACAAGCCACAGAAGAAAATTATGCTCGTCTACATGAAAACAAATACTTCTGGGCACACCAAGAGGTTCAAAAACAGTCAAACTAAGCAGGGGTGTGGCACCTGCTGGAACTCTCAGCACTCGGGGAGGCTGAAGCACAAAGCACAAGAATCACATGTCCAGGTCCACCCTGAGCAACTTAACGAGACCTTGTCTGGAAAAAGTGGAGATACTGTGTAGCTCAGTGCAAAGGCCCTGGGTTCAATTCCCAGTGTGTGTTGTGTATGGTGGAGAGGGATGGGAAGGATGCAGTCAAAACTGAGAACAACATTCTATCCTGCATCACAAAGGGCTAACTTCTTTCATGACTGGTAACAAACTGACTTGAAAAATAAGCAGCCAATGAAAAATGAATAATATAAATGATACAGATTGCCAGGTGTGGTGGCTCATACCTGTAATCCCAGCACTTGGGAGGCTGAGGCAAGATTGTTATGAGTTCCAGGCTAGCCTGGGCTACACAATGAACTCAAAGCAAGCTTTGACTACACAAGGAGAGCCTACCTCAGAAAAAGAAAACACGTATACAGTTTATAGGGAAGCAAAAACAAATAGTTTATAAGTAGAAAACATGTATTTTCCCTTATTGAGAAACACAAATTAGAATGGCAGAAATGATGTTTCACTGCCTGCCTGATTCTACAAAGTCTGATTGGCCAGGCTGCAGGAAACATACTCATTCATCACTAGCAGAACCGAGGGCGAAGTTCTCTGGTAATGCCTATGAAGAACACCAATGCATTTGCCCTTTAATCCAGACCTTCCTCTTAGACATCTGTGCTATGAAAAATAAGCAAGCACATACAGATACACAGGAAGTACTAAAACATTTTGGCCTTATGCCAAACTGTTTAAAAAAAATACAAATCTCTCCAATGTTAAGTGAAAAACCCCAAGATGATGATATTGGTAAGCTTCTATACTACCTTGTAATATGCTTCCTTGATTTACAAAAGGGAAAAGAACAGAATATCTAGATTGATTTTAATTTGCATATGCATTAGGAAAGTGTTGAAAGTCATTCAGTTAAAAAAAAAAAGCAAATACAAATTAACAAAATATCAAAACCAGTGACAGAGGTAACTGTCAGGAACAGTTTTCAGGTCAGCAGACAGAGACTAGGAACAGAAGGTTGACTTCTCACAGTATAATGTTTTTGTTTTTGGTACTGGGGATCAAACTCACAACCTCACACTTGCCAGGCAGGCGCTTATGCTGCTGAGCTAAATCCCTAGCCCCACAGTATAGTTTTTGATACTTTGTGTCTTAATTACTTTTCTTGCTGCTGAGACAAAACATCCAACACTCAAACTTAAAGTGGGAAAGGTTTATTTAGCTCAGTTTGTATTAGTTTTAGTCCATTAGTATAGCACAGGACATTGCAGAGAAGAAATGATTCACCATGGGCAGAAGGTAGCAAATCAAGCAAGCAAGGGGCAAGACAAGCCTCTGTGTCCCAGTCAGTGGACTGATTCAGAAATCACCCACCCTTAATCCTGGCATTGCACATCCTAGCATTAAGCATTAATCTGGACTCAGCCACCTCTGAAAAAGCTCCACCTATGACTGTATGAGGCTTTGGGGGGACTTTGAGACCAAGCCATAATATCATAATATTCTGCCCTGGCCCCCTAAAGACTCATGCACATCTCTTTACCCAAAAGCATTTCATACATCTCTATAAAAGTTGCTAAAGTCTGAACAGTTTCAGCATTACTGAAAAGTCCAAGTCCAAAGTCCTCTGAAATTTAAGGCAAAACCTTAGCCTCAAGACCCTGTACAAACAAAAAGTAAACACTTCCAACAGTCCACGGCACAAAATAGACATTTCCATTCCAAAATGTACAAATAGGGGGATACAAAAGAATGAGACCAAAGCAAGTCCAAAATCCCAAAGGGCAAACATTGAGTCCTGTAGTTCCATGTCCAGTATCTGAGGTAATCTGTAGCAAGATGGGATACAGCTCCCCCCATGTGGCACTGCTAGTGGCTGAAGCTCCCACAGCTTTTTTCTTGGGCAGCCTCAGGCTCCTTCCTTGCAGTTTTCCTCAATCTATGTTCCTGGCTTTTTCAAATTTCTGGGGTCTCCACCACACTTCTTCACAGTGCCCTCTCAGGAGCACACTGCCTGACCTCCCAGGCCTCCTTCTGAATCAGGGTGGAAGCCTTCCTGACCTCCCAACTCTTGCATCCTGCATGCACCTAAAATCAGTAGCATGTGGATGATTTCAAGGTCTGCTGCCAGCTAGAGCAGCTAGGGCTTCCTTCTGTCTTGGCTGCTGTAGGGGTCAAGTGCCTACCAACCAAATTCTGAGGAACAACCTCCCTAGGCCACCATTCTGGAATATGGTGCTCTGGGACTCTTCTCAAAGCAAAGTCTTTCACATTTATAACTGAGCTTACAAAAGCTGGAGTCCTGCGGTTTCTTGTGGTGTCCTCAGGTTATCTTTTCATTGTCTTCTGAAATACTTGGCTGCTTCTTTCTAGTCCTTTTAGTGACCTATTTCTCCTCTTTTCTATCTTTGCCTGGCCAAACTCAAAAGGTCTTAAGTCATTCTGCTGGGTTCTTTGCTCTTCATTTGCAACATAAATCTGGTTTAAAGTCTCCAAACAGTAGCCATGGCACTGACCCAATATTAGACTGTTTTAAAATCTCTTCTGCTAAGATTAATTAGTCTGATACCCTGAATTTCAGTGTAGGACAAAAAGTCTCTAGACACTTTGCCTGCCAAACTTTCTGCTAAGCCATAATACACATTGTTTGGAACCTAACAACCAATGAAGTCCTCTCTAGTCCAAACCTCCGGTCTGGTCTCCACTGGCATTATCTCCGTTAGCATTCCAATCTTCTGGGTTCTGACCAGAACCTCCCGTCAAGTACAGCCTAAGTTGTTCGAGCTCTGCTTTTTCGGTCAGCATCTCCAAACCTTCCTACTCTTCCTCTTCCACAAGCCAGCTCCAAAGGCTCCTAAACCACATGGTTAGGTACAGTGACAGCAATGACTTTATTCCTCCAGTACTAAACTCTGTCTTACTTTTCTCTCAATTACAGAGACAAAATACCAGACACTCAAAGTTAAAGGGAGAAAGGTTTATTTAGCTCAGTTTGCAAAGGTGTCAGTCCAAGATTGGCTGATACCAAAACAGGGAGGCATTGCATTACAGGCATTACAGAATAGAAACAGTTCATGGTAGGCACAAGGTAGTAAAGCAAACAAGCAAACAAAGGGCACGACAAGTATCTTTTTGCCTCTTATATTTTATCTAGACTACCAGGATTAGGGCAGTGCCAAGCCAATGTGTAGAGTGATTTAGTAACCTTTAATCCCAACACTGCACCACTCTGGATTCAGCCACCTCTGAAAAAGCCCCACCTATGACTGCCTGAAACTTGGTGGGGGACACAGCTAAACACAGCTATAATCCTTTGTTTTTTGAGTTTTGTAAATGTCGTCCTGAATAACATAAAATTTAAACATTAACAAAAACAAATCCACTCCCACACTTACCCAATTTCATATAGTCTTTTTTTTTTTTTATCAGTACCGTGGATCGAACTCACGACTGCCTGCTTACAAGGCAGGTGCTTACGCCGCTGAGCTAAATCCCTAGCCCCTATATAGTCTTAAAAATATATTTACCTCACTATAAATACATTTTCTTGAATACATACATCTTAAGTTTTTTAGGACACATGGAAATTAATTTTATACAGAGCTGTCAGATGACAATGAGATGATCACAAATTTTGAAGTTCCCTGAATTCTGAGATCTCAATAGCTTTGCATCCTAACAACTGAGCCATAGGTGGATTTCCATTTACTGCATTTCCTTTATGTCTTTGGTCATCTTGGTTACTTTCTCTGGTTTCTATCACTGGCTATTTTTCTTACAACTTATCTTTGCAAAATCATCCTTTATGGTAAAACAGTGTTGAAAGAGTTCCCGCAAATGCTGAAGGAATGACGACTAACAGTCAGTCATAAAGCGACGTCCTGAGTGTCCTGTGATCTCAGAAGCAACTTCTACAATCTCAGGCGCCCTTCGACTTCTTTTACTGGCTCCTTCCGTGTTTCACTGCGCACTGCAGTGCTCTCTTTAAAGCTTGCATTTTCCCTCTAATGACCAACTAGGTCCTGACCACCTTGCCAACCACCTGATCGTAGACTCAGTTGGCCAGAGGACAGTCGTCCGCCGCCGCAGTCACCGCGAGGGCAAAAGCCACAGCGTCGGCGTCCATCTCGGGGGGATTCGCGTCGAAGGCGGCTTCCGTCGCACTGCAGTCTTCCACGAACAGCCTGCAGCGCTCCTCGATGTCTCGGGGTATCCTAACGGGGATCATGGGGGAATTATTCAGGTACTGGTGGAATAACCGGTGATTGACTCCTATGAGGCCCAGCTGCCCGTGGAGGGTGGGCACTGACATCAGCCCGGTTCGTGGCTGGGGATCGGCCTGGGAGCCGGTCCCGCACCCTCGCCATGGGGCTGGCAGCTTCCACCCCTGGGCCTTCCTGAGACTCCTGCGCCCGCCTCCTGCCGCCCACTCCCATCTGCAAGACGTGGCCAATGCCACTCACTGCACCCATTTCTGGGCACTGCTCTCCCCGCGGAGCTCGGACATCTCGGAGACTCAGCACCCTCGACGTCTAGTCGAGCGTTTCCACAAAAAACAACCCCACTGCGCCTCTCATGGATGTGCGCATGTGTGGGTCTTGGCGCATGCGTAAACGTTGCGGAAGTAAAACAGGTTCGCAGGCGTAGGCACTGTGAGCGATCCCAGAGCGCCGGGTATCGGCTCTGGGTGCCATTATGGCTGTAACCACCTTGCGCGTTAGAGCCAATTCAATGTTCTGGTGGAAGGAACCTGATCCATCTGCAATCCCAGCAGTCTGGGAGGCCGACAAAGGACGATCGAAAATTGGAGCCACGCCTGGAAAATTCAGCGATTTAGCGAGACCTTGTCTCAAAGATATTTTAAAAACTAGCTGGAGATGTAGCTTAGTGTGAAGGCCCCAGGTTCAGTCCTCAGTACCTTCCCCAGCACCCCAAAACTCAAGGGGAACTCCCTATGAGGTTATTTTCCAGTTCCCATTGAAAGGGTTTTGGCCCAGACAGGACTCTGTAGCCAGAAAAGCCTCAACCGGAACCAGGAAGCCCCTATCTCCCCCACCCCTAGGAAGTTACCTGTGCCGCCATCTTCCCCGCCCCGGGGAACTTACCTATGGCGCCAAACCTAGGACCAATGGGCTACCTGTGCATCCCTGATGCCCCCCTTAGGCTCCACCTCAAACCGAGGCTACTTACATACCCTCATGCCACGTGTCCGCCGGAGAGAGAGCCGGACTCCAGCGGCTGGGGCTGCTGGTTCTCTCTCTTCCCGTGTTCTCAGAATAAAGGCCTCTTTTGTTTTATACTTCTCATCTTTTGGAAACAATCCTATCACCATCTTAATGGAACTCTGCAAATTTTAATTTGTAAACTTAAAAGAATCCGGTTCCTTTTACAAAAGTCATGTCTTCTTTCTCTGCTAGCGTTTCTGAGGACTGTGTCTCCTTCTCCCTCATAAGCACCACATCTTTGCCTACCCTTTAAAAAAGTCCCGCTAGGTTCACTGTTAGGCTGCTGCTCGGTGGGTCAGACCTTACGACGCCCCCCCCCCCCCCCCGCGCCTCCTGGCATTGAGCCTTTTGTGGAATTCCCTTCCTTCGAGTGTGTTTGGATTTCCTGCTGCCTCAATCTCTCCACAAACGCTGTGAGCAGCCTGCCCTGGAGACCAGGTGCACCATTGTGATAAGCTGGGTCCGTCACAAGTTCCTCTTCCTTTTCTCCCCTGGATGTGACCAGTAGTAGTCAAAGTCACCAGTGAAACCCCTGCACCTTTCCTCGGGCTTCCCTGGACTCCAGTGAAAGCTCTTGCCCACAGGATTTCATTCACTCTCTGCTGCCCGCAGGCTTGGTGGAGCTGGCTCTCTTGGCCCTCCCCCATGCGATCCCTTTATTTCGCAGCGACTCTGTGACTCTGCCTTTTTAAGAACGGTGAATGTAATGAGCTTTGCTTTCCTGAAACTCTCCTGTGCTCTTTTGGTTTCACCCACCTATCACCCAGAAACACAGATGAGTGCGTGAGACCATGATTCGCTGCTAGCCAACTGAATGCAGCAAAAGTGATGGGTTGTCACTCTTGTCATAGCACTTTTTGTTTTTGTTGTTGTTGAGACAGGGCCTTACTATGTAGTTCAGGCTTCCTTAGGTAGCTCAGGTTGGCCCGAACTTGTGGCGATTCTCTTGCCTCTGCCTCCAGAGTTCAGGGAGTACAGGCCTGCACCAGGGGCCCATCATAGCAGATGGTGTTTGAGACTCGTCCTCAGTGGCTTTGAAGAAGATGCCAGGTCCAGTAGAGACACTACATCTGGGATGACAGCTGTAAGTGGAGTCACACCTGATTATGATTATTCATCATTCTTCAAGAAGATACACCTGGCTTCTACACAGGTGTATTGGCTGAGTTAAAGACGGGAACCCCACCTGTGCTTTTTTCTTTTTTTTTTTTTTTTTTCTTTTTATCGGTACCGGGATCGAACTCACAACCGCCTGCTTGCAAGGCTGGTGCTTATGCCGCTGAGCTAAATCCCCAGCCCCACCTTTTTCTCTTTTTTAATAGAGATCAAACTCAGAGGCTGTCTACCTCTGGGTTACATCCTCATCCCTTTTTTTACTTTTTATGTTGAGACTGAATCTAAGTTGTCCAGGCTGGTTTTGAACTTGAACCTGTGGTCCTCTTGCCTTGGTCTCTGGAGTAGCTGGGATTACACACATGAACCACTATACCAGACATCTTTTCTTTTCAGTAGTATAACTATCTTAGCAAATCTATATCTATATAACAAATATATATAAACAAATATATATCTATATATAGTTTCTTTCAGCTTCTCACATTAGTGTGACAATATGATGTTTATACATGATGTCTGATTTATTTCACTTATGAGTATCGTCTCAAGTTGCATCCATTTACCTATAAAACTCTCCAGTTTATCCTTCTTTATGGCTGAGTAATACTCCATTATATAAAAGTACCACATCTTTTTAAAAAATCTATTTCTCAGTCGATGGACATTTAGGTTGTTTCCAAGATCTAGCTGTTACAAATTGTGCTACTATGAACATGGATGCACATGTATCACTGCAGCACGATGTTTTTAATTCTCCTGGGAAGATACCCAGAAGGGGAAAACATGGGTCAAATGGAACTTCCAATCCTAGGGTTTTTTTTTTTTTTTTTTTTTTTTTGTCTTTTTCCTTTTTATCGGTACCGGGGATCGAACTCACGACTGCCTGCTTGCAAGGCAGGCGCTTGTGCTGCTCAGCTAAATCCCCTTTTTTTGTCTTTTTGTATTTTCTTTTTAAAAAATTTTTTATTTTAATTTTAAAGGGGCTAAAATTAAATACAACAAAACGGAACAAAATAGGACATAAGAAAGCAATGTAAGACATATAAATTTCAAAGCTAGACGACCTGAGATCTTCACTATCTATCATATTGTCTCTTGTTTTCTTCCAAATAGTTGTCCATGTCTTCACAGAGAGAATTCATACAAAACAACATAGTATAAAACTGATCCAAACAGAATGAGAAAGGCATTTTAGGTTGTAGTCTCTTGTTCTCTTCAAAATAGCTGTGCATACGTTCATGTATATTGAAGTTCAACAAAACAAACCAGGCATGGGGGGAGGAGTTGCTTGGTTTCTTGGTGCTCCAGGTCCCGGCATGGCATGGGTCCCAGGAAACGCTAGTGGCTCCTGTCCTGGGCCGCTGCAGCCTGTCACTCTCACAGCTACTCATGGTGAGTAGAGGTGGAGTGAGGCGTTGTTTCAAGCTGTTTCTTTCTAATGAATTGGCTGTTTCACTGCCCAAGTTCTGAAATGGTTAACACACCATAGGAAGACATCTCTTTAGGCTCCTGCTTGAAACCAACAGCATCAGGAAGCTGCCGGCCTGGATTCGGGGCCAGTTTTTGGTCTTTTTGAGACTGGGTCTTACTATGCAGTTCAGGCTGGCATTGGGTTCACTTTGTAGCCCAGGCTGGTCTCGAAAGTACAATGATTCTCTTACCTCAGCCTCCCAAGTGCTGGGATTAGAGGAGTGCACCACACCTGTCGATCTTAGTTTTTTGAGGAATCTAATTTTCACAGTGGTTGCACCAGTTGCATACTCTGACCAAAGGTGGAGAAGGGCTTTTTCCCCACAGCCCCTCCAACATTTACTATTGGTTAAATTTTTTTTTTTTTCATTATTGGGAATCAAACCTTGTGTTTGCCCAGCAGGTACTTGTGCTACTGAGCTAAATCTCTGGTCCATTGATTTCTTTTTTTTTTTTCACTGTGGTTTGTCATGACCATTGATTTCTTGATAATAGTCATTCTTTTTGGGTGAGGTGGAATCTCAGTGTTGTTTTAATTTCCATCATTTGAATGGCCAGTAATGTTGAACATTTTTTCACGTATTTATTTGCTGTTTGTATTTCTTCATCTGAGAAGTATGTATTCATCTCAGATGCCCTTTTTGGATTGGGTTTTTAAATCTGGAAGGACTGACTTTTTAAAAATTCTTTACATATTCTTGATAGTAATCCTCTGTCTGAGGTACAGCTGGCAAACATTTTCTCCCACATTGTGCTCTTTACTGCTGGTTTCTCTTGCTATGCAAAAGCTTTTCAATAGCGTGAGATCCTAGTTGTTGATTCTTTATGACAGTGCTTGTGCAGTCAGGGTTTTATTCATACAGTCTTTGCCTACACCATGTCTTCAAGAGTTTTCCCTGTTTCGATCTTCCAGCAGATTTTGTTTCTGTTTTAATATTTAGATCTTTGACTCACTATGAATTTAACTTAGTGTGTGGTGAAAGATATGGGTCCAGTTTTAATCTTGGGCATGTGCAGAGCCATTTATTCAGCACCATTTATTAAAGAGCCTTCCAGTGAACATGTTTGGCACCTTTATCAAAGACCAGGTGGCTTAGTGTGTCTGCAGTTGTTTCTGAATCTTCTAATCTGTTCCATTGATATTTGGGTTGTTTTTTTTGTATGCATGGCATCTTCCAATTCTTTCATCACTGACATTCCTCTGGAGATGTAGTCTGGCATCAGATCAGCATACTGAAAGGTACTAAAAGTTTCAGGGGCTTCAGTTAGCTCTTCCCAACATAATGGGCCTCCTAGTCTGGGTCAGCAAGCCAATGCAAGGAATCTTCCAGTTGCCAAATATTTCTATTTTAATTTGTATACTCAAAAACTGGGAAATAACCAGGATTGGTCATGTCGTCCAACTGTAAATTGAACCTGTTCCATCTGTCACTTGATTACCATAAGCCCCCGTTTTGGTCCCCTGAAATGGGCATCAACTAAGAGCCAGTGTCCAGAATCCTGAAAAGACCTAGCTATTTCCTTCTTCTCAAATGCACTGTTACAATAGTATATTGTCACAGCTCCCCCTGGGAAATGGTCAGAGGAAGATTGGTGGCAACAGTGTAAGATCTTTCCTCAAGGGGACCTGATCTCATGGTGATCCTTAGTGCCAGATTACA